GTGCCTAACCCCTGACCCCTGACCCCTAACCCATGACCCATGACCCCTGACCCCAACATATTAAACAACAATTCGACAGCCAGCTGCCCAAACTTCGCAATTATTTGTACAGATTTTAGACTGTGCGCAAAAAAAAAAACAAAAAAATACAACAAATTTATAGAATTCAAGCAGGAATTTAATAATAAATGCATAAAATTTATTTCTAAATTTAGAAGGAAACGCAGCAAATTTACATGAATTTTCAGCCAAACGATTTCTTTTTCAATGGCAGAGCTTTTACATGAACTTTGAGCCAAACTTAATTGTGGTATTGATGTGGAGGTCAAATTGTGATCAAAACCTTTGCTTTGAAATATTGTATCAGTCTAGGGACTTCAATCAGAAGTAGGGTTTTCCTGGTTTACATTAACTAGATTAAAAAAACTGTGCTCTTGAAAACTAATTCAAATTTGACAAGGTTATGGCTGTCCTGGCTGACTTACGACTTAACTGGGTTTAATTTTATACACTTTCTGCAAGATAGCATTTAGTGAGGATTGTTACCGTTCCAACTGGAAAGAAGCTTAAACACTTTTGATTTCACAATTCGTTTGGAACTAGTTGCTAATTCGAAACTAAGCCAGCTGTGCCCAGAGCGTATGCTTGATAAACTTACTGCACATTTTCCACGTATCCGTTTGAATGGGAAACATTTCGTCCTCAACTTGAGGCTGAGAACTGAAGCCGATGCTCAGTCGAGCGATATATTGAAAATTACAAGAAGTGGGCCGCATGTGCATAAAATTAAATGCCGCCGCAGACGCCGCTGCCAAGCCATGCACCACATAACCAGAAGCGGATCCACATTTACCATATATAACATCCACAATCGGGTCAAATCGAGTGCGCACCACCGCAGTCCGCAGTTGTCTCCATTTCCAAAACGTTTTTTTCTTCCTTTTTTTTTTTTGTTCTTTATTTTTCAACACTCTCAAGTTCCAGCCACTAAGCGAGTGTGTTTGGAAGTGTGGGTGTTAATATTGACTTGCTACTTTGGCGGAAATTGGGTTAAATGGAGCAAAGCGGAGATTGTCTCCCTGCTGAAATTGCATTTGAATTAAATCAGCAGGCAATCTGCAGGCATTCCATATTGCCGCCTGCCCCACATACGTACATAAACACTATATATATATATATATGTATAGAGGATAAAAGAGCAAAGACCCTTTGCTACTACTAATTTACACCACCCACTTTTTGGCCAGGCGTTGTTAGCCCATCTCAATTTCAGTTCGAGCCAACTTTTTTCTTTGCTGGACTGGGTACCAATTATGGCTATAAGTTTTTAATAAGTCACAGTGCCCTCAATTGGAGCCATAGTTACTAATTGAAAATCATTTTGGCCAGTTACAGACCAAATTATATAGACTTGGAGAGGGAGATAGAGAAATGTGTGGCAAGCCAACAATGCAGGGAAAAGGAAGAGCAGCTGCTTAGGGCGAGAGAGAGCATGAAATTCAGATGGAAAGATGGCAAAATAAGAAAAATTAATTAGTAAAATAAATAGATGGGTATCTCAAGGGATAATTGTGCATTAATCTACATAAATGAAGACAAAGAAGACACAAATAATAATGGAAAATAAATATTAATTATTGGACAAATGTATTGCTGAAGTGATGGTAGATCAATAATCAGAAAGTACATCTAAGTGGAGACTGGCATAGATTTGAAATTGATATTGATATGAATATAGCAATAGACAAATAGATATATATATATATAGTAATAAAAGGGAAGGGAATAAATAACAATGGAAATAATGTCTAAGAAACTAATAATTTACTCACTGACTATTCCCCTTCCAAAGCGTACTCAAATTAAACTCTAGAATGGATTAAACACTTTGCCAATCAGCATTTACTTTATTGTCTGCTCTTACACACAGTTATAAGAATCATTTTACTATAATATAATTTTGGAATTGTCAACTCGAAAGTCACAAATTTTGTGAAATGCATCCATTTGGCATTTAATTGATATTTCTATTAGGCAACTTAGCACCAATTTGCCAGAGCTCGCTTGCAATTAATTGCTTTTTCTTTTTGGTTTCTTTTTGTGTGTGTTTTGGCGTTTCATGCTCAAGATTATTCCCATTTTCACCATTTTCACTTTTCACCTGCAGTGAACTGTGCGTGGGGCTGATGGCCCCCTTCGTTGGCCATTTAATAAACTCGGCGCTTTACAGCACTCGGCCAACTTTTTGGAGCAGCAACTTTTTGGCAACTTAACAACAATTTTTGGTTATGCAAACTTGCAACTTTTGAACCGAGCAAGCAACTCCCATTCCCATTCCCGGACTCTACTATAATAGCTGCCAACTCGCAGCTCGCAGTTTCCGACCATTCCCAAACACAAAACTTTGCCGCTTTACGCGGCTAATGCTGAGAAGCCGAAAACTCGTTGCATGTGACGCAGTAATTTATGTGTAACCTGCACCACCAACCTACCTACCTACCAGCAACAAAAAGCAACAGCAACAGCAACAACAACAACAAATACATCACCAGAAGCAAACAGCAACACCTTGGCAAGCACTCCATCTATCTCTACATTCATATCCTGCAACTCAACTCTTTCTCTTTCTCTCTCTCACTGTTCTATCTCTTGTTGCCTCTCACTCTATTCTGGGCGTATTTATGGCCAATATTTGCGTGCCTGTCGAAAAAGTTTACACCCTGGGCACTTGGGCAATGCAAAAGGTCATTCAATTCTCGTTCAGCTTAACTCATCTTAAAGGGTTCAACTTTGGAAATCAAAGCATTTTGATACAGATATAGCCAGCTTATGTTTTTTTTTTTTTTGTTTGTTGATATTTCGCCGTTAAGAATTTTTCGCCTAAATCGTGATGGAGGTTGCAACATTTTGATACCTCATTAAAATGAACGCCTGACAAGATGCTGACATTTGAGCTGGGTGTACAGACAGTGTTGCTGCTGCTATGTAATCATTACTATTACTTGAATTACTTCTAATTATCATTGCAAATCGAATTATGTGGGAATTCCTAATGAGTCTTACATTTCACAGCCGGCTCAATTACCCAAATAAACTATGCTCAATTCCAACTATCAATGCAATTGAATAGGTAAATAATTCGACTTTTTATTATTACTTGCTTTTTATTATTAACGATGCATAACAATTATTATGTGCAACAATTACATGGATGAGACAAGAAATCTATTTCGTTATTATTATTTTGTTGTTTGAATTAAATTGTAACCAGCACTTGCGTCTTCTGATATAATTAAATACTTTCTTTGTAATTAAATACTTGTATTCACTGTCAATTACCATTACTTAACAAATTCCGCCCCAGCAATTAAATTACTTAAGTAATTATGCACGAAAACTGCAGTTTGCAAATTACACACCTCGCCCACTGACACCAAATACTTCGCTATTCTGTTTTATGAACACAACCCACTCGCCCGCACACACATAGACACACACATACACACAGACACCTTTCTATTAACTAGATATTTAGATTTGCTGTGTGTGAAAGTTTTCAGGTGTGCGGCGTGCAACGCATTTTGCAATGTTTCGAATTGAAAATTAAACTGTCTAATAAATAATTTAAGGTATGAAAAGTCGCTCGTAACTGTGACGCCCATTCAACAACGCCAACGTCCAAGTCAGTTACCTCAATCTGTGTATAAGGTGTGTGTGTCTGTGTGTTTGTAGTGTGTCTGCTTCCGGTGCCGAAAGTTTTATTTGTGTTTGTGTGTGTGTGTGTGTGTGTGAGTAGGTGTGTTGTTTGGCTGCGGTTGGCTGTTGTCTAAATTAAATTATACCTGACACTATGCAGACCCCCAAACAGCTCTAGATAACCAGTGACTGGCCTTACAGATGAGCCCGTGTCTCAAATTGTTTTTGAAACGTGACAACACGATAAAAAAAAACACACACATGCAACAAATTTTTATAAACACGATCTAAGTTGCTAGAATTGATAAAAACGAAAGATATTGACATTGATTTTTATTAAGATTCTTAGTTATGTGTGTCCCATTTTCTAGAAGAGTTGCTTATGATTGAGTCATATGAATATTTAGGATGCTTAAAGCACTTCAGCAAAAAACTTTTACACAATTACAAAAAAAAAAGAAGAGAAGAGAAACGTTAACAATACCCAATTAAAAGGAATTAAGCTTAGGTGGTGCTTTCAAGTGTCTCATTGGGGAAAACCCTCGCACAGCCCGAATTCCCATTAATTATGCACATGTCTCACGCGTCGCAAAGGACAAGGTCGTGACACGTGACACGCGCTCAGTACTGATCTGTAGCATGAGTTGGGTTATCCTGTGTGTTGCCTAAAACAAGGTGAGTAGGCGGCTTACATTTGTCTGCCTGGTTGTTTTTTTTAAGCCGTTAAATTGCTGTGCAAAATTTATAAGTAAATTGCTTTTTATTTTGTGCAAAGTAAAACCACTGAAAAGCTGTTTAGTCTCTAGCGAAGTGTTGGCAAAATACTTTCAGCGGCTTGTAGTTGCGTTCGGACTAGTTCCAGGGCATTCCATGGGCTCAAAGGAGCGGGTCACGTGGGGAGCGTAGTGGGTTAGGTTAGGTAACTGCCAGCCTGGATTCCGCTATGGCCTAACTCAACCTTAACACCTAAACACATTGAAGTGCTGGCAACCGCGCAATGTGCCCTCCGTGCAAGTATTTTGCGTTTTTGCAGCTTGTTTGCGTTGTGCTGGAAGTGACGTTAAAAGGTTTATCCCATTGAAGTTTCACTTACAGCTCGGCGTGCAAAATTAAAGCCAGCGCATTAAGTGATGCACTCCTCAATCCAAAAACAAGAAAGTACCATAATTAAGTTTAAGGGCTTACACCTAGAAACAGATTAGTTGCATACAAAAATTTGAAATGGAAAAGGGAACAAACAATCTCTTTAAAGGGTAAACTCTTCATAAGAGATATATATGTATATATATATATGATCTGTTCGTTTAATCATGCAATTTGCATATCAATTTGGTGCCGACAATTTAAAAGAAAAAGGTCGGGACTGTCATGACAATCACTTGAAATACTAGCTAAGCTTTATGTGCTTTGCAAGTTGCTGAAGATTAGACACAAGGATAATTCAATCTTAAGCTATTTTATATGTAGTGGACACAGGACATATTTGTATATGGGAATACAAACATTCATCTAGTAAACGCAAAACAGTATCATCATTGGATCATTGTTTTTTGCGCTTCTTGGGCTTTGTATCATTACTGCCCAGTTCGGATTTATTCTGAAACTGCGGCAAATCGGCACAGAATAGAAGCTGTAAATAGAAACAAGTATAAATAGTTAATGTCTGTTTTTGATATGCCGACAAACAGCGCTCACCGTTTGCGCCCAGCCAGCGTATTTGCCATGGAGCTGCTGAAAATGTTGCGCCACCTCAGCATAGATCTTTGTGGTCACGCTCTTTTGGCCAGCCAGATGCGGTAGATAGTGACGCTGTGCCAGCTTATAGATATGCGTATCAATGGGCACCGCCTCCAAGTGGCCCAGGGACATCAGGCAAATGCAATCGGCCACCTTGTAGCCAATGCCAGGCAGTTGAACTAAAGCCTCTCGCGCATCCACATAGGGCAATTGACGCAGCTGCTCAAACCAGACATTGCCGCCACGCTCCTGAATTTGTTCCAGCGAACGCGCTATAAACTTGGCACGATAACCAAATTTAGCGGCGCGCAATTCCGAATCTAATTGACTGCAAGTGCGTTCGCCAGTGAGCGCTTCAAGTGTGGGAAATGTGTACTCATCCTGGCCATGGAAATGCCCAATCTTGTGACCGTAAGCGGCGCACAACCATTGGATCATGGATGAAATGCTAAAATATTACAATTATGAATAAGTCATTTAATCGTTATTGGATTTACCGCTTAATATTGTTGTTTTGACTGCACATGAAGCAGATTATATTCTCTAGTGGCTCCTGTGACAGCATACGGACTGGTTTGCCCACAAATTTACCAAACTGTTCATCCGCATGCATCCAAGCGGTCTGCTGCTCCAGCAAATCAAATTCAGCGCGCAGATAATCGCTCAACAGTGCGCTGAAATTGGGAGCCTGCTTGGCAGCAGTTGCATGTGCCTCATAGCCAATGTACTCGCTCTCTGGCGTCAGCACCCAGTAAGTATTTAAGGCAACGCCGCCATATTTCACTGTTGGTGCATCGCATAGCTTCCGCCAGCTTAAATAAAAATTATATGCTTATATTAGCTACTGACAAATATTACAAAATACGCACCGGAAACTTTGGCCGCCTAGCAGGGTACGCTCCAGATCGCAAACGCTGGCGGCCAGGCGTATTATGCCGCTTTGTTTTACGGTGTTCGTCATTTAAAACTGCATTTAAATTGCGAATCAAAGTAAAGACGCGCGAACAGCTGTTATGAGCCGATAATTTCTTGATTTCGATAAATCGACCACAATGGCAATAATATTGCGTGCACGCATATCGGCACGAGTATCACGCAATGCTCTCAATTGTCTCTCTGCATGTGCGAGTTGTTTATTTTTGGTTATGTGCTGGCGTTGTGCCAATCAATATTGATGATTTAACTTAAAATTCTTACATTATTTTGTAAGTTTGTTGTTAGCTCAATTTGCATATGTTGTTGGTTTTTGTTTTCATATTACACGCGCTCGCTTGTTCTGTGCGTCACGCGCACATCTCTAGTTTGAACTCACACAGCTACATGGATATAAAAGTTATTTAGTATTTCAAAATAAGATTGTGAAACAGCAGCAGCAGTAGCAGCCCAATCACACAAACAACATAGAGGCTTTCATTTAAGAATAATAGAGAAGGGGCAAGTTAACCACACGGGACAATACAAACACAATAAATACTATATTATGTCAGGCAGCCTCAATAATTATTCGACTCTAATGTAAGTAGAAACTCTCACAATTCGCAAGCCCCGCCAATAAAAATATGCAACCCCACCTCAAAAAAACAAAAAACATACAGGCATGCAACGAATCGTGGATACGGTGAACATACCCAACAATCGCAGACCGTGGCACAGGTGGAGGCACTCAGAAGTATGCAAAAAGTACCGCATAATATAGTCGGTGATCCCGGCATGCAGATAGGGCACGGGTATGTACCAAGATTGCCAGCTATTCTAGTTGACTAATAATTATGTAAAACAATTGATTTTAGCATCGATGATCGCGAGAAATCCATTGTGGACAATTTGAATGCGGATCAAAGTGCCATCACACATTTGAAGTATATGAATTCGGACCGTGATCTGTCGCTGCCCTTGGATAAGCAGAGCAAGGCAGTGGATAAATATCTGGATAGTCAGGAGGAAGGTGAGCACAAGACAATGCAATTCAATTATATTCTGAGACTAAATCAATGCTTTGGCATCAACAGATGTATCGCTGCGCAAATATCTCGTCTTTGGCGTCCAGTGGGTCTCGCTTGTTACGGAAAACCTCCTGAGTCATCCGTTTATAGTGCTGCGCCGTCAGTGTCAGGTTTATAATGCCTCAAAGCGTTATCATTTGCATCCGTTTCAGCTGCTGCCAACCATTGTGCATCTACATCGCCGGCAGGGCGTCACAACGCTGTGGAAGGGTCTGGGCAGCTGTCTCCTCGTCCGCGGCATGACTCTGGCCATTGACGATGTCATCTGCAAGTTCACCAGCTGGCCCAAAGACGTCGATAGCCGCACCACGCTCAAGCGTTTCGGTCAACATATTTTACTTAAGTGGTAAGCGTATAAAAAACTATAAACATGTCGCATTAGGGGAAAATCCGTAAATTTCGAATATAAACAGATCGATCTTCGGCTTAAAAGAGCAGGGAATCTGTTGAGATGGGACATCCATCTTGAATATCAACTTGAACTTGACCATTTAATATATTCAATTTGTTGTTATATTTAACAGCATCAGCATTGGCCTTGTGGTGCCCTTCTATGCGGCCTCACTGGTGGAGACCGTGCAGAGTGACATAGCCAGCGAGAAGCCGGGATTGCTGGATGTCTTTCGCGAGGGCAGTCTGCGCTTGCTCTATTGGAGTTCGCCGCAAAAGGGTCGCATGCTGCCCGCCTGGGCGTTGATTGGCCCCAGTGTCTCTATGGGGATAACTAAGTATTTGTTTGGTCTGGTTATACGCGGCGTCTCCTCGCGCATTATGCGCCGTCGCCTCACATTGAGGCAGGAGCAGCGTGGCGCGAAGACTCGCGACGATACGCTTGAGCATCAGAATGGGGAAATCTATGCAAGTCTGATCGCCATGCTGACCACCGAGGTGCTATTCTATCCGGTCGAGACAATATTGCATCGACTGCAGCTGCAGGGCACACGCACTATCATTGACAATCTGGACAATGGTTATGCTGTGGTGCCCATATTGACCAATTATCAGGGTGCCATCGATTGCTATCGCACCACAATGCTAACCGAGGGCATTGGTGGCCTGTACAAGGGATTCGGAGCAATGATTCTTCAATTCGCCGCCCATTTGGCCGTCATTAAGCTAACCAAATGGGTTGTCGGACAAATTACGGAAGTTATCTCAAATCGACCGCCTGCCCGCATCGTTCAGTATTATAATCTGGATCGCGGAGCTGGCAACTCAAATTCAACGACCATATCGCCGAGCATTTCAAGCACCGAGATGGACGGAAACAGCGTGGGACAGAACTCGCTCGATTAGCCACTTCGGTTCGGTTCGGTTAAGTTTTCCAAAATTTAATGTATGTCCCACTATTGCCAATGCGGATGTGGGTGCGCGCTCTCCACGATTGAGCACAGTCTGGCATGTTTCGATGTTCATTTCGTTCATTTTGCTGTGATAACTTCCGTGCTTGCTCCAGCAGCGAGTCATAATTTTCATATACGTATATATACTACATATTGCACGTATGTACTATATATATATATATATATATATATAGAAATTAACTAAACTTTTTTTTCTTAATTTGGTTTTGTGTTGTCCATCCGATCGATCGACCAGAATACAAATTAGCCAAGCCTGTTATTTATTGAAACCGACGTTGAGATGAGATCAGCTATTGTTTTACCTGGCGGCATATCTTTGGGTTAATGCCAAACTAGAAACATTGTAATTATAACTTTAAAATTAAATACAAAATGTAAGTGAATGTGAAAGCGCAATTAAAATGAAAAATGTTTTGCCTGATGAGCTTTTTGTTTATTTGTTTTGGTTGTAGAAGTTTGGCTTCCCCAAGAAACATGATCTTTATCAAAGCCAAATGCAATCGAGCTCTCATCGAATACGGCACGATTCGATTCCTAAAACGTTTCTTACTATAAATTTTTTATTTGAATTTGTAAACTATTTTGATGCAAATCCTCAGCAGAGTTTAATATTGTATTTTCTTCAAGATGTACCTAGAAGATGCTGATTGTATCCATCTTCAGAACCGCTCTGACGCCCTTAAACAAAATTTGTTCATGCTTTTTTTTGTTCATTTGTTTGTTTATCTAAGTAGTTTGAAAGTTCTATACATACATATATAGTAGAAAAAGAAAAATGTTAAGCGAGCTTTAAGCTAAGTTGTGATTACTCCGGTTTATAGCTAATGCTTTCCTCTTTGAAACTGTGCACCTGGTCGTACCAGATGTCATCCGGCTCATTGGCATCTGCATTGTCGTAGAGTGTGGGAAATGGTGGCGCATCCTTTGGCTTGCGCAATGGCAGAATTGTGTCGTAGATATAGACGAGTCCATTCGTTGATCCGGGCACCGCACTGCCCTGCACCCACATCACATTGTATTTAGTGTTGATGCGCCAGATGCGCAGCCCCTTAATGATGCGCCATCGATTGCCCATGTGACCGGGCATCTTAGTGCCCGGCCATACGCGACCCTTCTCTCCACCGCCGCCAATGTTGCCGGCACGACGATGCGTCTTCGTCACACCGTGGGACGCGGGCATTCCTTTAAAGCCATGCCGTTTAACCACACCCTGAAAGCCATGATCCACACTGCAGATACACGATAATTAGTTGAATTACAACAATACCAAGGTTAATACTCACGTCTTGCCTCGCACATCGACAAATTCGCCGACACGAAAGTGGCCCACATTAAGGGGCGTGCCCGCAGCCAGAGCCGCCTGTGGCGAGACAATGAATCGCGCCAAATTCTTCTTGGGCATGACACCCGAATCGCGAAATAAGCCGCAATACTCTTTGGTCAACAGCGCCGGATTTGTGCACTCCGCTCCAACTAAGACGCAACCGTATTTATTTAAATGGTGCACATTCGGTCGCTGCGTGGGACGATACTCTTCCGGAGGTATATATTTGATCACATGATTGTCAACCACTTGCAGCAGAGTGGTGCGCACGCGTTCGCCATTCTTCAGCCAGAGCGGATATTGGCCAATCTTGCGGGCGATTAAGCCGCATCGACGCACGGCCGGCGTCCAGGGCTCGGCATCTGTGGGTGCTTCGGTCGTCTTAATCAGTTGCTTCTGTTCGTACGTTTGTGTGCCTTTAATCAGCGCCGGTACACCGTAGGTGTCGTGGACCACCTCTTTGATGAAAGTGCGATTCTCTCCCGTGACAAGATCATCTGTTCGCTGCAAGGCAGATATAATAAATAAAGTATATGAAGGGTACTCAGTCACAGCTTTCCAATTTAGCTCGCACACTGCACATACCGTGCGCTGCTGGCGTATAAACCAGTAGGGATTCCGCAATCGAGGCCGGCTCAGATGACCCTTTTCGCGCACTTGTGTAATCAAAACGGCGGCCGGACTTGCGCTGCCACTCAGTCTGTGAAGTCGAGAAAATTAGATTATAACTGCAATGTATGGCATATTTTAGTGCATATGCATACCGTAGGCGGGCTAAGTCACATATAACAGTGCGCAGCATATTACTTATATAATTTTTTAATACAATAATCAACTAAAAATACATAAATAAAAACATGCAGCGCACAGCACGAGCTTAGTGATGTGCAGCGACAACCACGGACAAACGAAATATCGATTGGCAAAATTTATCAATAACTAAGACGGATATTAAAACTGGTAGCCAGGCTTAATAAATAAATAATTCTTAAATTCAACACCGACGGTATATTGAGCAAACATGTTTTGGATCAAAATTTGATATATGTGCGACATATGTAATTGATTAATGTAAAAAATGCCATACACAAATCATTTCGATATACTATTCTGTTTATTCGATCTGTCCGATTTTTATAATCGACTATTGGCAACACTGCAAACCAGCAGCGCCATCGGCTGTCACGGCATCTGGCAACGCCGAAATTAGAAACTACAAACACGTGCAACGCGCTGGCGGCGTGCGTTAAATCTAAGAATTCAGTTTCTCTTTGCATTTGACATTTGAATTGACTCAGCAAAATGGGAAAAAAGTCAAAAGTTGGAAAGACGCGCAAGGATAAGTTCTATCAGTTGGCCAAAGAGACAGGCTTTCGATCGCGTGCTGCTTTCAAGCTGATCCAATTGAATCGCAAATATGGTTTCCTGCAAGAGTCGCAAGTATGCGTCGATCTGTGCGCTGCACCCGGTGGCTGGATGCAGGTCGCCAAACAGAATATGCCCGTCTCGAGCATTGTCATCGGCGTTGATCTGTTTCCCATACGGGCCATCCCCGGCTGCATTAGCCTGGTCGAGGACATCACAACGGAAAAGTGCCGTCAGTCGCTCACCATGGAACTGCAATCGTGGAAAGTTGATGTCGTCCTGCACGACGGTGCACCCAATGTGGGTCGCAACTGGTTGTACGACGCCTATCAGCAGATCTGCCTCACATTGAACGCCCTCAAGCTGGCCACACAGTTTATGCGCAAAGGCGGCTGGTTTGTGACAAAGGTGTTCCGCTCCAAGGATTACAATTCGCTGCTCTGGGTGCTCAAGCAGTTGTTCAAGAAGGTGCATGCCACCAAACCAAGTGCATCGCGTAAGGAGTCAGCCGAGATATTCGTTGTGTGCCAATATTATTTGGCACCCGATCACATCGATCCCCGTCTGCTGGATTCAAAGTATGTGTTTGAGGAGCTTGATCTCGAGGGCAGTAGCAAAACCACCAGTCTGCTCCATCCCGAGAGGCAAAAGCGCATCAAGGCCGAAGGCTATACAGAGCAGGACATGTCGCTGCGCAACGATTTGGCTGCATCGGAATTTATGAAGTCGGACAATGCGCTTGCGGCGCTTCAGGGTATTGGATCGATCACTATGGATGATGAGCGCATTGCCAAACACAAGGGAACAACGCCGGAGATTCTTGAGTGCTGCAAGGATCTAAAGGTGCTAGGACGCAAGGACATAAAAGGCTTGCTGCTGTGGTGGAAACGTGTTAAGGAGGAGCTATTCAAAACAGACAAAGGCATCATTGAGGAGCAGGAAGTTGAAGTCGAGCAACCGCAGCCGTTGACCCAAGAACAAATTGAGGATATGGAGGATGCTGAGCTGCAGCAGCAAATTGGATTGCTCGCCGATGAAGAGCAGAAAGATCTGAAGCGTAAACGCAAAAAGACGCTCAAATCCAAGGCAAAGCTGCACGACAAGATGAACCTGAACATGGTCATTAAGGGCGACGATGGCCCCGTCGAGGAGACCGAGCATGAGATCTTCGATCTAAGGGATATCAAAAGCTTGAACGAGCTGGACGAGGTTCTGGACGTTAATCCGGATTTTGATTTAGAAGGCGACGCCGTGGAACTGCCCAAGTTACCCAAGTACAAAAAGTACGACAAGGATGACAAACGCATGGACGACGATGCCAACTATGAGAACGATGATGAGCCCGACGTCAGCGCTGAGGAGGACAACGATAGCGATTATAATGAACAGGGATTGGGACTTAGTGACAACGATGATGAGGATCAGCCTGAATCCAAAGGCAAGGGAAAGAAGAAGAAACGTGGCGAACATCCGCTCATAAAATCGGGTGACTTCCGTGACAAGGACACCAGGCGTCAGCAGCGCGTGCAATTGTGGTACGAAAAAGATAATCTCCAAAATATTGGCAACGACGAGGATGACGATGAGGAAAACTATGATCTGGACAATCTAGCCAAGGCCTTTAAGGACAAAAGTGTCGATGTGCTTGGCGACAGGCGTTCCACATTTGTCCCGGAAGACAGCAGCGAAACTGGCACCTTGCTCCTGGGCAAAAAGGCCAAGCGCCGTGCTCGACACGATGGCCAAAAGGAGGAAAGCAGCAGCTCGGACTCAGATTCAGACTCTGAGCTAGAAGTCGATGAGGATAAAGTTGCTGGAGACATGGCCAAAGGTAAGCGTACAACTTGTGCACAGAATGCTAGAGTGAGATGGCGAATGAGCAGCTAGTTTAGGGTTCAGCAATAGAACCAGTGTCTGCGACGAGCTTCAACTAGAAATAAATAGAATTATATATATATATATTTAATTATAGTATTCATTGTATTTATATTAATATATTGAATTCAATTCAGAACCCAAGGCGAAGAAGGTGCGCTTGAGCGAGGAGGAGCTGGCGCTGGGTGCGCTGTTGGTGCGTGGCAAGAAGACGCGTCGGGACCTCATCGATGCCGCCTGGAATCGCTATGCGTTCAATGATGACAATCTGCCTGTGTGGTTTGCACAGGACGAGTTGGAGCACATGACCAAGCCACAGCCTGTGCCCAAAGAACTGCAGGAGGAATATCAGCGCAAGGTGCAGGAGTTGAATGTGCGCCCCATCAAGAAGGTGATGGAAGCGAAGGCGCGCAAGAAGCGCCGCTCCACAAAGCGTTTGGCCAAGGCCAAGAAAATGGCCGAGAAGATCATGGAGAATGCGGATGCAACCTCGCAGGAGAAGGCCAAGCAGCTGAAGAAGGTGTACAAGAAGGCGCAGGAGAAGAAGAAGGAGATCAGCTATGTAGTCGCCAAGAAACACACGGCCTCCCGTCGTGCTCGCCGTCCAGCTGGCGTTAAGGGTCGCTATCGTGTCGTCGATCCGCGCGAGAAGAAGGACAAGCGCTCCATTGTGGCCAAACAGCGACGTGCAAAAGGCAGCAAAGGCGGTAAGGGAGGTGGCAAGGGTACGAAGAGTGGTAAGGGCAAGCGCTAGTCGACGAACACAGTCGCTTGTAGTCAGTTATGTAAATGTAAAATGTATAAAATAAATATATAATCTAGTGCATAATGAAAACAATCGAAAATATGCATTTTTGAGTTTGTATTATTTATTAGCGTTTTAATATTGAATTGTAGCCTTTTGGCTCATCCTGAAAGTATGCATTAAATATTTTTTCTTTTCTGAGACTTCCGTTTTCTCATGGCGGCGCCACCTACCGTTGAGAGTAGAAAATAGTGAACGCCATCTATCGATCGCCAGAGCGTAGCTTCGAGGCAATGCAGAAGACTACATTGTGTGATAACGAATAAAATATTGATGACCGAAAGTCCGAGAACTGTTCGAGAATCGAAGTTGCAAGTCAAGTGCTGATAAGGACCATCATCTGATCAGAGTACATCCAAATAATAATATAAAATGAGTAAGTATGTACATTTATATATCATCAATTAAAAACATATAACAACAGACGACAACATCTAATTGTAAAAGGATTTTCAAAGCGCACTACTAGGCTGGTACACATAGTACTTCTCGTCGTCCTGTTCGGTGAGTAGCAGCTTGCGCTCCTTGAACAGCTTGCTCAGATGATGCCCGACATTGTAGGCAGCTGCTGGCCATAGATGCTCGGGTGTCTCCTTATACACCACCCTAACGACATCGATGGCCTGGTAGCGCTGGCCGGGTCGTTGCATAAAGAATTGCATTATCTGCTGTTCACGCTGAGTTCGATGCTGTATATAGTATTCGATTGCGACACTAGGTTCATCGATCACATTGCCGTGGCCGGGATAAATGCGTTCCGGTCGTAGCTTCAGTATTTTATCCAAGCTGCGCATATACTCATATAGATCCTCAAATACAGCAGTGCCCTCACCTGCAAGAAGAATATATATTTAGACTTTAGTAATGCTATTCAGTACACCGAACTGGGTACTCACCAAGTATGCAATCGCCGCTAAAGAGCATGCCATCTTCTGTGGCAAGAACGACATGATCCGTGGTATGTCCGGGCGTATGTACAATGCGCACCTTAGCGCCATCAACAGCAAGCTCCTGGTTATCGAGCAATGGTCGGACGGGTATATGCGCTGGTATCTCCGGGCAAATATCATTGGCATCGTTACGTGGAAATTTGTAGACCTGGCAATCTGCATTGAGGAGCACTTTAATGGCAAGGACGAAGCAACGAGCACACAAATAGATGGAGACACAACACAATATTTATATATATATAGAGATCGTACAACTTCTCTAGTGAGATTACACACCCTTATCCGCCAGCGTGGAACCAACAATATCCTTGACGCCGCCAACGTGATCGTGATGCCAGTGCGTCAGTATAATGGTGGCAATCGAGGCCTGCTCTTGCCGCAGCACACCATTCAGATGTTCAATATATTCCGGCACATCCTCATCGCCCGTGTCTATAAGTATGCGTCTATATATATATATATATATATTTTTTTTTTTTTGCCTCTTTTATCAAAGTGTAGCCCATAGTTTGAACTTTGGATAGCGCACTTACTTTTTACCATTTCCGAGGAGGTAGGTGTTTGTGCCCTGGAGTGTCATCGGGCTGGGATTGCAGCCGAGTATGCGTATTATGGAGGATGTGAGGCGTGTTACCGGCTGTATTAGGGCCATGATTACTCTTCAGTAGCGACTTTTTTTTACTTTAATATCACCGTTCATATGTTCTGCAACCGTTTCGATTACAAACGCAGGTGTGTAAACACTGATATTTATCGAACAGCTGATGTGGATCAGGTGCAGCACTCTGTTGTTGCATGAATGAATGTGAAATAATGCATTTCTTATGTATTGTTAAGCATTTGATTGTCATTATTTTACCCTTGAAGCACATTCGATGCTGGCGTTTAAAAAAAATGTTTTAGCTTACAGTTACAGCCACCTCACGCAGTGTCGCTTAGCTATTTTGCTATCGATATCGATAGGCTGGACCGGCTAATACGTATCGAAATTTGAAAAGTGAATTATGAATGTCGTAAATCCAACGTTATTTTGGATTATATGTATACTTTGGACTCAATTCGAAGTCCGACCAACCCAATAACTCAAGATAAGATGTGTTTTTGATTTCGATTTTATTATTTTTCGTAAGTTTTCTTTATTTTTGTTTTGTTTGCTTTTCTTTTGACTAGGATGCAGATGCTGTATTTATATATATATATATATATATATAATTTATATATATATATATATACATACTATACATGTATATATAGATAACTATTTTCTTATTTTCATTTTAATTTTGATCCGTTACAAATTACAATATGACCTTAAACGCTTCTCAAATGTTCAACTATGTTTTTTCTCATTTTTCATTTTTCATTGTTCACATACATACGAATTGCAGTTGTTATTATAGAAAGATATAGATAGTGAGAGGTTGCATATAGAGACTTTAGAGATGTTAGGCCAAAATAAAGTAGATGATATATGTGCTACAAACATACATGGTAATAAACAAGTCAATTGTGCCTGCATACAAGGTAAAAACAAATACAAATTCAAGTTAACGTAATTACATTTGTATTAAAAAGTTAGTTAAAGTATTGAAAATGCGTTTGCTTATCGATAAAATAGCGCATATAATATACATAATTGAGATTGATAATAGTTGAATATAGTATAATTTACTTGCTTGTGAGTGAGTGTGTGTGTGTATGTATGCGTGCTTTAAAATAGAATCGTTTAATAATATGTCACTATATGCATTTATATATTCGTATAAGCTAAAAATAATGGTTAAGACGAAAAGTATTTTCATAATATTGCATTATTATTTGGGGTTTTCTTTCTTTTTGTTTTTGTTTTTAAAGATTGATTTCATTAAGTTTACTTTTACTTTTACTTTTGTTTTGAATTAATGGCCACGCGTGTTTTGTTTTTTCATTTTCTTTGTCTTTTTTTTTTGTTTTTTGTTTTGTATTATTTCAAAGACACATTTTGAGAAAAATGTATAAATACTTTGATGTTCGATTTGTTGTCATTCATTTAACTTTTTGCTGAACACATTCCGACCTGGCTAATACTAAAGTATTTTGTTTTAGCTGCTTTCATAAATATGTATATGTTTTGTATAAAAATAAAAAAAAGACATACCACATATACTACATATATATAAATGTATATATGTAAAAATGCTTGCCACATCGTTCGCTTCATATATATATATATATAATATAGTTATAATAATATTCAAGTTGTGGAAGAGAACATAAGGAGTAGTAATAAACAATAAAAACAAAAAAAAAAAACAACCCAAAGAATGCCGCGAGAAAAGCTTGACTAAACTACTAAAAACTATTCTCACAATATGCACTATGTAATTTGTTGATTTTCGGTTTTTCTGTTTATGTTCTTGGTATTTTTCTTTTTCTTTTTGGGCTTTCAACTGTGTATATACTATATATATATATATATATATATACGACATATATACGACATATATATATATATATATGTAAATATCTATATAAAAATGTATATACTATTATAAACTTGACTTTTGTTGCTGGTATCGCATCTTCTTCTTAGCTGATCATTTCGCGGTATTTCAATTTGTGCTTGGTCAGCATATCGGTGACGGTGACGAGCTTCTTAATCGATATTATATTCGATAGTTCCTGCAAGTCTGGCAAATAGGATACGCAGATGTGATGCAATGTGGCCAATTCGCGACCTGTAATATGGGATGGCAAATAAGTGATCGATAATTATCGATAAGTCCATGCGCTTATCAGCCTTACCCGTGTCCTGTGCGTTGTGATTGGGATTCTGCTCAACAAACATGCCCAGCGGCGGATTGGGATCGGTGACCAGCGATAGCTGATCCAAAAATACAATCATGCGTTCCTTGTTCTTAAGTATAAACGGATTGACCACCTCCATATATTGTTCCTGCACAAACGATACCAATATTAATCGAATAAATATGCATTTCTCAACATGCATTGATCAATCAATGAATAATATTCTGTGTGTGTGTGTGTGTGTGTGTTTGTTGTGCTCACCTTGCCGCCGAATTCGATGAGATTCGCCAGATTCTGGAGGCACTTGGCCACCATGATGAGAGAGCGAGTGGCCGCCGTTGGCGGTGTCTCACTGACTAGCCCAAATTGCCGCGGATTGAGCAGGGCCGGGCATAGCAGACGCAGGAATATAAAACCGGAGACGACACGCGTACGCACCAAACGCTCCGTTTGCCATTTGGCAACGACCGCCTTCTGCAGGCAGTTGCAAATGTAGCGCACATTGCGCGGACAGGCATCCGGCGATGTGAATATGGATTGGGTGACCAGATCGAGTATCTGCAGCAGGAATTCAGCATTTGTGCACGCATCATCGTTGACATCCATTTTGGTTGGATTCAGCTCCGCCGATTGTTTGCTCTCCAATATGCGCTGCACCGTCTCACTGACGGCCGACTGCAGGAAGCCGCTGCACTCGGTCCGCATATACAAATCCATAAGTGTCGTTGCCAGCGAGGCGCCACGGAATAGTGTCGTTGTCTCGTTTTCGCGCGCCACCTCCGCCTGGCACAGGATGCGTATCAATTCCGTTTCACGTTTCTCATGGCGAAAGACGCGCAACAGCGCCGTCGCCAGCGGGACCCGATCATTATGGCAGAGCTCCGCAAGCGCCTTGACCGCATACAGTTCCGGTTCGAGCAGCAGCTGCTGGAGCGGACTGTACTCCTCGCATGGCATTATCAGATCGTCCAGATATCGCATGCGCAGTCGCAGGGAGCCCCATTCGCCCATCGGTGTCATGCCAGTTAGATTGTACCAGTCCTCCGTCTCCTGGCCATTTTTCAGGCTCGCCAAATCGATGGTCAGTTCGGCCACTTCCGAGTCCTTGCCACGCTTGCCACGCGACACAACCGTAATGGTCAACGACACCACATCCGGGGGCACATCGCTGCAAGGCAAAACATGAAAAAGGAAAAAAAAAGTAGAAGCAAAGGCAGACTTAAAATGGAATTGAAAGAGACAGGAATATATTCGTTTGCTCTCTCTCTGTCTCTCTCTCTCTCTCTCTCTCTCTCTCTCTCTCTCTCTCTCTCTCTCTCTCTCTCTCTTTCATTGATGATGCAAATTGATAACTCACTCGAGCACAAACTCCTCCTCCCAGACGGGCTCGGGTGCAATCTTGACGCGCGTCTTGCCAACCTTGACCTGGTTTAGCGAAATACTGCAATAGGGATGTGGCACCAGTTTGAGTGGCAATCGATGCGCCTCCAGCACATGCAAATTGAGGCAGCGCAGCTCACGCAGACGGGACACCTTCTTTTGTGCGCGACTCAGCTGTGAGTCGCATTGGGCCTTCAGCGCATTGATCCACTCAACGTAGCTCTCCTGGCTGGGCGCGCATAAATACGTGACGGTTGCCAGACAGGGCAGCGCACGCTCAACTATCTGAAAGCAATAGGGTCGCTCCCAGAGCGAATCGTGGCACTGATAGAGATACGCGCAAGACAGATCGATAAGGCCTTTGGGCTTAGTCTTTTTGGGATTGTCATAGAAGCACAATTGGGTCTCGGTGCCGTCATTGATAAGCGCAAAATATAGTTGCTTCCATTTGGTCGTTTTGTCCGACTTCTTGTTGAGATGGCCATGATGTTTGATGCCCTTGATTTTCTTGAGGCCAATCTGATCGCGACACTCACGTAATGTGGCATAAATCTTCTCGGCCGCCTTCTCCACAACGTACTGCTGATTGAATTCCGGCTGGGTGCCATTCACCACCGGATGGTTAAGCGAATGCCCCTCGACAATTTGCTCCTTGCGATACCGATTGATGACTGCATCCAAGCATTCAAATGTCCGGCCGCCCATCAAATAGCGAACACCCTTCTTCTCAATGCGAAATCGCTGGATCTGATTGTTGATGTGAAAGAAGAGCGAATAATCTCCGGGAGAATTGTCGCTGGGTCGCACCAGAAAGCTGCCAGGTCCAGCTGTGAACAATATGCGAATATTATTTATGATGAAAACATTTCATTTATGGTACTCACCCTTGACGAGCATGTCGACAGCCTCGTTTTTGGTGCAATTGGGATGAAACCAGGGGAACACTGTATTGGGATCAATGGACACATCGAGATCATCGACCAATTCACGAAATATCATGCCCTGTTCGCCGGTACGATGTGCTGTCACCCACAGCCAACCATCGCCCATGTCATTGTGCACGAAGAAGATGTCACCCTTCTGGAAGCTGAGCTCATCCGTTTCCGGCATTTTTGTATACGGTAAAATGGCCACAACACGCTTCTTATCATTGACCGGCTCCGGCGGGGCGACGGGAATGACGAGACGCTCACGCTTTAACAGATCGCTGCACGAGGTGTAGTAGCCAACGAGATCGCTGAGGGAAATGAACTGACGTCCGCCAATGTAAAAGTCACCACAGACGGCCGTAATGCTAAAGAATAACCAGAATATGCATTGTTTATTGAGAATCTTTTAATTGACTTACAAGCAATTCATATAATCTCAATAAGTTGCTAACAATTCTCACAATAAGCCACATCCTTTTCACAAAGTGTACATTTTGTAGATTTGTTCTACTGAATATTGTACTTTAAATCAGCAATTCACACATTTGGAGTCGGTTCTCTTATGGCGAATACCCACTGTACTGCTGCAACTTGCTGCAAACTTACCGGAAATGATTAATGCCAGTGCGTCCATAATAGCTGAGCACATAGGAGCCCGGTTTTCGATCACTTTCGCGCACTGCACAAGAAGAGACGAAGAATAAGAAGGTGAGTTGAGCATATGTGGCAAGTAGTAGGAAGTACGCACCCAGATAACTGCCCAATTTGCCGCTGCCACGAAGCCGCGCCTCCGCCGAATAGCGATCCAGTCGTCCATGATACCATTCGCTCTCCGGTGGTGCAATTATCGCTGGGCGCTCACCTGCAACCAAATAATGTTGGAGAATGTGCCAAATTAACAGCATTGCACAACACTCGGCGCCACAAACCAAATGCAAAATAAACAAAAACAAAAAACAAATTGTATGAAAAAGCTTGGCGGCAAAAAGTTTAATTCGCACATACGGAAAAAACCAAATTGTTTGTAATTTGTTCCAAGTTTTCGATATACACTGCAAATCAATAATAATGAATAAAAATCGTTTTGGTAAGCAGTCAACTCTTAATACGAAAAGGCAGATTGAAGTCAGAAGATTCCTTAAAATCAATTATACACAAAAACCAAAAAATTTTAAAAATTCAAAAGAATTATGCAAATAGCTTCACGACTTAATGACACAGTCAGTGGACCGACCCGATGCCCTGCATTCTGCATATAAGATATCGAAGCAAAAATAAATTTGGAAATTATGATAACGACAAGCACACACACAAAGAGAGATAACGACTTACAAACGTTAGGCAGCATTTGAATGTGCGTCGAGAAATGTACTTCCTTCTGTGCTTATACTTGCTATATGAGAGCAACAGCTACAGCAACAACAGTAAAACAATAAAATGAATTGCCCGCTGCGAGTTTGATATTGAAATGGAAACGCGCCAGCAGCAAGAATTATACTAAAGTAGCCGAAAGCTGCGCTGCTTCTAATCAGTAGACGCTGGCCCCAAGCAGCGCCATTAAACATTAATAAAATAACAAATATATATATATATATTTATGTAAGCAGGCAATTGATAACCGATAACAAATAAAGAGAATAAGAAATGCTCATAGCGATTAATAATAAAAGCGTAGCTTATTGTTTAAGAAACGCAAATGTAGTGCGATAAGCACACACACATTTTTAGCGAAACGAGAAGAAAGACACAGTGAGATAGAGAGAGAGTAAGTGAGAGAGCGCAGACTCGTGACTCACAGGCGGCTACGCAGACGCAGTAATTGCCAAGCTGTTCGCATGACGCATGGACACGCGCGCGCATGACACAGTGTAGCCGCAGTAGCCGTAGCAGTAACAGCAAAAGCAGTAGTAGCAGTAGCAGTAGCAGTAACAGTGCATTGCACCTTGAGAAAATGCCAATCAGAGCAAGAGTAGAAGTCAGTCGCAAGACTGAGCTCACAGCTGATGATTCACCTAATGTATGCGCATAAATATATAAATAAATATATACTTATGTATATATATGTGTGTGCTGCAAAATTATAGGTTTTTTTCAATAAGGGAATAATACACGACTCGAATGTGAACCGAACCGGTTCCATATGCAAACGAAAGGAGCGACTTTCGAAATAAAAAATTAGTTCATTCCGAGGAGTTAAAATTGGAAATACTCACCATTTAGCATATGAGGCCCATCGAATTCATCCTGATCCAGTTCCTGTGCCAGATCGGCCAAGTCAATGCCACCAGCGGCCATCATGGCGCCGAGACCCGTTATGCCGCCCAATGCTGCTAGGTTGCCGTCATCGGAGCCGCCCGTTGGCGAGCCAAGTTTATCTTTCTGTATGACAACGTCCACATTACCCAAACGCATTAGATCTGCCATTGATTGGTATTTTTTTTGTGTTTTTTTTTTGCTATTTATTTTTTTGTTTTTTGTGTGTGATTTGGTATTATTTGGCTAGCTTGTTGTATGTTGAAAAATGCAAATGCAATGCGTATGTTTGTATGTAGTTTGTATGTTTATGCGTATGTTTGTATGTTTTTTATGCGCTGTGTGCGTAAGCAGCAGCTGTGCAGATGTTTGTATTTATATTCGTATGTATGTACGTGTGTGTGTGCAAGTGTATGTGCGCATATGTGAGCCTTATTCTTGCCGTTACTGTTTCGCTTGTTGTTGTTTTGGCAGCAGCAGCAGCGCGCACGCTGTGCCTAACTCACAATGAGATAATGTCGTATGAGTTTGCTGTCTGCTGGTGTTGTTATTGTTGTTTGGTGTGCCGGTGATGCGTCGCGCTGTAATGCAAAATAGACGTAAGCAGCAATGAGAGCGAGTAAGAGAGAATGAGTTAGTGAGAGCGCAAATTATGTAAATGTGTGTGCGTATGTGTGTATGTGTTTATGTGTGTGTGAACTGACGACTCTCACCGACTGTGCATGCGTGTGAGAGAGCAATGAGACATTGAGTCTCTCCGTGTATGTGTGGGTGGCGTTAATGAGCTACTAAATTTACAAGCAATTCGTTATAAACAAAGTGCAATATGCATGACTGCCATAAATGAATAAATATATGTGAGTACACATATATGTGTATGCATGTGTGTGTGTGCCGGCAAAAGCATGCAACTTAAATTGCAAGCAAACAGCGCAGTAGCAGTGCAGACGTCGCGCCGCCGTCTCGTCATTGTGTATGTGTGTGTGTGTGTATACACAAACAAGGAGCAATGGCACAATAAAAATCAAATGGAACCAAGACAAAAAAAAAAAAATGAATACAAATTTCTCGTTTCCGTTTTGGCGCAACCCATCCCACCCCACGCCACACCAGCTCAGGCCACCATTAACATTTAAGCAACTTTTTCTGATGCATGAAGTATATTTTAGGTTTTATTATGAGGGCATGTTATTTATTGGACTCAATGTATTTCTTCCTAATTGCTGAACAATTGCGGCTATTTAACGCACATTCAAATACCGTTACCGTGTCAATTTACTGTTATTCATGTATTTGTGTGCGTGAGCGGCTTAACGTTCAGAAAGCAACAAAAAAAATTATGTACGTATTCGAAATTGGACTCCACCCTCTTGGGGTATGGCCACCCCTTTCAAATACACGGACAATATGCGACACTCACACACACTTAGGCAAGCACACACAAATACACTCAAGACAGACACACTCGGAGCAATGCAAACGAATAAGGCAACAAAAGAAAGCAGCAGAAATTTTCTACACTTACAATGTATACGTCTGTATGTGCGCGCGTGTGTGTTTGTGTGTGTGTGTATATATATGTGTAGGTGGGTAAGTGTAAATTTTAGCACCATACACGAGACGACGACACACACAGAGACACACGATACGCACTCGAACAAAAAGAAAGGGCAACACAATCAGGACATTTCCAATACAACTTGTTTATATTTTATTTGGTTAACTATTTCACTGATTTGTTGTTTGGGAGCACAGCCAATTCGGAAATACTCGGATCGCTTTGACTATGTGTGCTATGTGTGCCCGCACCGTGCCCGTACAATACGCGTTTTGTTTTGCGGCGCACACACACATTGGGGATGTTGATATCAGAGCGTATCGATACATTACTTATTTTTTGCTATATACCAATACATTACAGTCGCACTATCGATATATAAATTGCAGTCTGTATCGGAATTTTTCACACGAACGAATCTAGTCAATATATGTGTCCGACATGTGCCTTAATTGTTTATTGTGAAATAGTTGGAAATTGTTGCCCATCTAGTAACATTTTGTGTCACCTTAATAATACATTTAATTTTTGCGATATCCTTGCTACACAGCTGTTGTACTTAGTATCGATAGTCGTTCAATGCTCTCCGTGATAGCGCTAAACAATTGCAACCATATATCGATATTTACAAAGTCTCATCTCCATTACAAAATATTACTTTTTTGTTGTTTGACAATGCGTGCGCGATTTCGTAGGTTGTTGCCGTGGTCTGACTCGTGCGCTTATATAGTTTAATTAATAAAGCTGGACAAAGTAAAAGTACGCAGAGTAAATGCACTACAGAACGATACTTAAATAAGATAAACAGCTATTTATGTGTACCGCTATTGACAGCTAGCCGCACTTTTAGCCAAATAAACACACACACACACAGAGAGACGAAAACATTGCATTTACAGTCACATTTACCATATATAGTTACCATATTTGGCTGCAGGTTGCAACTGTAACAAGAATCGTTAACAACGCAGCGTAGCATCGAAATTATGATAAATCTGGACACAGCAAATAAAAATCAATCGTCGATAATGCAACCGTTGCCGTATTTTCAGGTAAGAGCATCGAGGATAATGAGAAAAGCAATAAGTGCAAGTGATAAGCTATAATTGACATTCGCTGCAAAAGTATTGCGCATTGTTAAATCATTATTGCTCATGAATCGTGCGTTGATAAAAAACAAACATTCACACGCAAATATCAACAGCCAGACATACAAACAAACGGACGTAGGCAGCGGCAGCTGTTTTTCGCACATACAAATATATATGTACATAAATATGTGCATATGTATACAATTTATAGCAGGGCTTTTGAATTGTTAGATCCCCAGCCCCAAATCAGCTGCGTCGCACTTTACAAACGCCAAAGGGGACAAAAAAGGGGCACGGCAAACACACAAGTGCACATACAAAAACAAGTGTTCGTAAGACGCAACTCAGTAACAATAACAATAACAATAACAAAGAAAACCAAAAACACTGGCGTAAAAGAGCTACGCTGATTTGACAATCTTCGGCACTGTTATTGCATTTGTTATCTCGCTCGCACACTCAGTTCCTGTGTGGTGAAATTAATAAATACATAGTTCAAATAATACAGTGATCACCAAAATGCAAACATATCGGTATTTTTTTTTTGTATTTTTCCAAATCAAACGAAAAGTTCTCAAAACAGTTAACATTTCGAGAAAGTTCCTCATTTCCAGCAGCTACTATAATGCAAATCAGCTGATAAGCGATTGATAAGCCAGACACAAGCCACGACAATCATTCGTTTAACGTTAAACGTTCAAATATATATTTGTCGCATTGGCATCAGGCAATGATCCGTAACAAAAACAGAAATGCTAAAAATGTCAGAGCCCCTTAACAGCGTGCATTCTGTTAACCGTCTGTAAACGTTCAAGCAAATAATGTTTTGTTATAATATATTGTTAATGCATTTACACACGCGCACACACTAACTGGCACTCGTGCATACAGCGAGTAATAACAAAAGAAATGCCAAGCGTTTTTTTTTTTACAAATTGCGTCGTCATATATTTGAGCAAAAGCAGAAGCACCAGAAGCAAACGTTGAGTCATAAAAAACGACGCTGCTCTGCTGTTGTTGCAGGGCCAACGGCACAGCTAAATTTATTGCTGCTGCCTTCGTTGAATTTTCTAATTTTCTGATTTGTTCATTTTCCAATTGACAATGGCCTTTCTAGTGTCCATAACGGAGGTTTGCGACCCAATAATCAAATATGATTGCATCTTAACATTCTCTCTCTCTCTCTGTCTGTCTGTTGCATGCCACAGGATGAGGCACTGCGACCGGAAATCATAAATGAAGCCGAATTCAAGTCGATACCCTTCATCAATACAAATGAGCACGATTCGATGGACTCGAATGTGAGCGGTGCAGCAACGCGAGCATTTCTGTTCATCGATGCGGATGAGAATCTGCAGATCGCAACACCGGAACTATTTTGCAAGAAACTGAATTGCCAGGAATCGGATAAACTGAAAGTGATCTCAATATTTGGCAATACGGGCGATGGCAAATCGCACACAATGAATCAAGTATTTTTCGATGGCGACTCCGTTTTCCGCACATCCCCGGAGCAGAGCTCCTGCACAATTGGCGTCTATGCGGCCATGCAGCGGGAGCAGGGTGCCCTCTGTCTGGACACCGAGGGACTGCTGGGTATCACCTGCAAAAGCAATAAACGCATGCGTATGCTCCTAAAGGTATTTATGCAACATTTACATATCGAGATTCATTGACTTATCCGCCTCTATTTTTGTTCTTTGTTTTTTTTTTTTTATGGCCAGGTACTCGCCATTTCGGACATTGTCGTCTATCGGACTCGGTCGGAGCGTCTGCATAGTGATATGTATGAGTTTCTGAGCACCGCTTCTGAGGCGTTCGACACGCATTTCACCCAAGCGCTGCAGGCCATGGGCAATGGCAGCACACTGGGACCCGCTGTGATCATATTCCACGAGACACACTACACCAAGCCCCTAGAGAGCTGTACGTACTAGATTAATCATCGGTCATCTTAAGACTGGTACAGTAGTCGCTCACAAAAATCTCAAATCTCATCCATCATCCATCAATTGGAACCCTCTGCAAGTGGTCCTTATCAAGCATTCGATTTCTAATATGGTTGTCATTTGTCAACAGCTTGATAACCTATTATTATAATTGGGATAACTGCACTGCGACCTACTAGATCTAATGTACCCCTTTCTGAGGCTATAGCTCCTCCATCAACCCCATGAATCCTGCACGAATGCGAGAATCTGTGTTGGGTTGAGGGCTTTTATGGCTTTGAAACTCATAACATGCATTCCTAGGATGCTGCATCTTCTTCTAGTTAAGGCGACACACTCTGATATAATGTGCCTTCAGGATTCTTCCTCGCTTTCATTACTATAAATACCTAGTTTGGTTAGGTGACTTCTTAGTCTAAAGTGTCCTGTCAGTAGATCAGTGAGTATCCCAAGCCTATTCTTCGCCGAGGTTATAACTTGCTTAAATGGTTTGTGATTATAGCCACCCAAAAGACATGTGGCTGGTCGGAGTCCTGGTGTCTCTGCCCAGCGCCGTTGTCGCCACTGTCTTTCTTCGTTTCTGAGTTGCAGTCGTGTGCAACAAGTACAACAACTATTTATTTTTATATTACATCTTTGCAAGCTGCTTTTCAACGATTATAAATCTCATCCTTTTATATTTCTATTTATATTATATTCACTTAAATTGTAATCTTATGGCTGTATTCCATTTGAGTTCCTTTGAACATTATAGCAATTTGATTGTGATATTTTGCATATTTTTACAGCCGTGGAGGAGAGCGCTGAGGACAAGCTGCGCAATAGTTTTGCCAATCAGAAATTTAAGACGAACGCGTTTAGCTCGCTGCGTTATGTGGGCATCCAGACTGATGCGAAGAGCTCAACGAATTTCACGAAGATTAGCGATGCACTGCGTATTGAGATTGAGAATACATCCGTGCGTTCGCCACGCCAGCCGTCGGTTGTGTTTAAGGCAATTAAATTGCTTAATCAGAAATTCGCTGGCGAGATCATTGAGAAGGCGATCAATCCGTTTCCGGAGCAGTATTTCACCTGCGGTGCCCACTGCGAGTCATGCAGTCGTCGCTGCCAACGCTCCATGGGCCACGTCAGCGATGGCGAATCGCATTTCAATATGCAGCCCTGCAACTATCAGCATCAGTACGAGAACAAGATGTACCTGTGCAAGGCATGCTATCAGAGTGGCAAGGAGATTGTCGTCAGCATACGCACGCAATCCCAAACGGACACCGCCTGGTCCGGCCTGGCCAAATACGTGTGGAAGGGCGATGTCATCGAGTGTCCCTATTGCGGCGAAATCTATCGAACGCGCCAATATTGGTATGGCAACAAATCGCCCGAATCGTCTGTGGTTCAGTAAGTCTATAATCGAATCGAATTAATCAGTAAACAGTCAATCACTCAATCATTCAATCAATTATTACAGCGTGCAGATCGTGCACGTATGGAAGGGTGGCAATGCTGCACAGCGCGCCAATGCCCACTCCGCCCAAATGGTCCTCGACAGCGTCAGCAGCATTAGCGAGGGCATCACCAATATATCAGCACCCTGGACGAAGGCGATCAGCGGCTTGGTTGCCGACAAGGTGGCGCCCAACTACTGGAGACCCAATCATGAAATCATTGTAATTAAACATTGATTTAATCAAATTTATAATTTATGCACTCGAGCTCAACAAAATATGTATCTCATTAGATGTGCCACGCGTGCAGGTGCAACTTTGACCAGACGGGCATGTCCAAGCATCATTGCCGTGGCTGTGGCGAGGGCTTCTGTCAGACGTGCAGCCAGCACAAGGTGCCGGTGCCAGCACGTGGCTGGTTGCAGCCGGTTCGCGTCTGCAACGATTGCCATCAGCAGCTGCAGCGCAAATCGGATGTGACACCGGGTAAGAGATTAAACAGATCATAGATCAAACATCATCTATTCCTCTACTCCACTTCATAACTACAATTCAAACATAAAGAAAACGTTTTTGTTTTGTTTTGGAAATCAAAGTCAAGTTGAAGTTGTTAAGCATTATTTGAGCTTTCGACTGAATTCAATTAATGCTTGCAGCACTTGGCACTCGTTCCCTATTCGCTTCTCTCTCTCTCTCTCCCTCTCCCTCTCTCTCTCTCTTTCTGTCTATCTATCTATCTGTTTATCTTTATCTCTATCTGGCTGTGTCTATTGGTCTGTAAAAGTTTCCTTGTTTGTTACACACACAGCGCAAGCTCAAGATCAACCTGAATTTACTTATTGCAATTCAAATCTGACTATCGCCTGCACAGGCTCCAGGCCGACCAACGATGAGGGCGACATCCTGGTGCGTAAATGTGGCGAGACCATCTACAACACAATCAGCAACTATGCCTCCGTGCTGATAGACTATCCGAAGCGTAAGTGCCACAAACAACAATTAATCGCAATCAGTTACTCAATTTGACAACAACCCATTTGTTGCAGAGATGATCAAGGATAGCGCACGACCCTCGTATTGGGTGCCAGATGCAGAGTCGCCAAGCTGCTTCATCTGCAAATCAGTCTTTGGCCGTGCCGAGGAGCTGGCCAAGCAGCACCACCTGCAGCCGACGGATGAAAGACGCAGCAGCGGCAGCAGCAGCAGCAACAATAGCAGCAAGCAGAGCAAACGGATCAGCAATCCAACTGGAAATGGAGTAACAATCGATTGCCATCGACATCATTGCCGACGCTGTGGTCAGGCAGTCTGCAGCAGCTGCTCGAAGCGGCGCATGCCCGTCCTGGAGCGCGGCTGGCCAACGGATGTGCGTGTGTGCGATTCGTGCGCATGTGTGCCGCAAGCATCGAACAGCCAACAGTGCATCTCCAGCGCCATTTCGGATGCCATCAATGGCAGCAGCGATGCAGCGACTGCAACGGATCACCATCCTCGTCGCAGCGATCAGAACACCGCCGGCAGCAATGGTCGAGCAAGCTGCAACGATTATCGCCACACCAATGGCAATATCAATAGCAATATCAGCGATGATGCCAAGGCGAAAACCGAATGAAACGCGGCCCATGCGGGCAGACAACAACAGCAGCAACAATCCAACAGAGCAGTCACAATCTGGTCCAAGTGTCCAGGCAAGCGTTAGATTCGTTAAATGATGTGTTAGACATGCGTCGTCTTCGTCGAGCTCAAGCTAGAAATCGTACAATGTGATACTATATATATATACCCAATCTAAAAGTTGCTTAAATATATATTATATAGTTATATATATATATATATATTTTCTTCGTATTCAATCTGAACTTCATCTATATGTAAAAGAATTCTTTTAAATGTTTTATATATTTTTTAGATATACGTTTTTTTTATTTACTTTTTTATTTGTGTGTTGGAAATGTTGAATTGAACCTTTAGTTCCGGCAAAAGGGAAACTCAATAACGGGTACTGAGTATGATGATTGAGGCTCATGCCGAGACCAGCTACCAATATGGTTCGATCTCCACTAAGACTCTTGAGAGACAGTCTTCAATCTGATCGGTTGACTAACTCTGCTGATGAGCCACGAAACGAACTTGTTGCTTGTTCTCTCTGTGACTGGTTGGTCTTACTCGATTGCATTGGTTTAGTATATATTCAGGTATAGCCTCAGGAATCGACACAAAGTAGCATAAAACACGTTCAATCCAAATAGCAGCAATAAACAGTTCAAAGTGCGCAATAATCGGTTATAGTCGAAGTCAGAGATTCAGTTGTGAAATACTAAATACTAAAAATAAGCAGCAACCGTTTTTAGACTCGATATTATCGGTCTCAATAGTTATATACACGCATATGTCCTCCTCAAATGTTTCATAATGCTATATAAATAATACATGGAATGGAAGAACGGAATCCAGAACTGTTAAAAGTACTACAATTTGTTTTATAGGCTTTATACAATAAATAAATGAAACTTTAATGCATTGAATAAAAACTTGAAAAATGAATAAATTTGTGTTTTAAGGGATAAACTGCAATCATTCCTATATACATATATATATGTATATATAATGTAACCCAATAAGAAATGACCAAAGACAAAGCAAAGTGAATTTGTTTGTTGTTGTTTATTTAATTATAATATAGCATTGTTTTTGTTGTTGGTTTTTATTTCGTTTTTTTTGTATTTATTTATTTAAAATAATTATAGTTTATTCCATATTTATGTATATATATATATATATAGTAAGTATATATACCGATCGGTTGTTTTAACAGCTAGACGAAAGTTTTGCTTATGAGTTTTGTTTTTGTTTTTGTTGTTATTCATTATTACAATACTTTTCCATCGAATACTAAGAGAGGAAGGAAGTTAATTATAAATATTTTTGAGTTTCTAGTTAGTTCTTCTTCTTTATGTTCGTACACACACAAAAATGATTGAAAACAACGGAATCTCGGGGAAAATCATGTTTTTCGATCTGCTTTCTGGAGTTCTCAAAAAAAAAAAAAAAAGAATTGTTGCTTTAAATTTGATTTACATCGTATACATGTTTTTTTGCTTTCTTTTGTTTTGTTTCATAATTGTATTTTGTTTAATTTCGCCATAAATATGTAATAAAAAGTTGTTTTTTTTTTCGTTTTTTTTTTTTTTAGTTATTCGTAATACTTGTTGACAATTTTTGTTTAGGTTACGTCTGAACTGTTATACGGGGCGTATAACTGTGGCAAACGCTGCGCTTGCTGGTATACAATTTGTAAAGTATTTGTTTTTGTTTTTTTTTTGTTTTTTAGTTTTTAAGGATTTTTCTTAATTTTGTTGTTGTTGTTGTTTGTATAGTTACATATATGTTTTGATAAATGGGAGTTTCGTTCTAGTATACATTTGTTGTTCATGGTATACAATTTTGTGTTGCAATCGTTGAGTATACATTTTATAGAATTTATTTTTTTTATTTTTCTTTTTCTTTTTATATATCGTATTTCATTAGTATACATGCGTTTGTTTTTGTAAATTTAATTTTAGTATACAATTGTTTAGTGTTGTTGTTGTTTTTGTTCTTGTTGTGTTGCTTTTGTTGTATTTTTGGCGGCTTAGACACTACGAAAAAAATATATAACTATTTAAACTAATGCCTAGTAGAAAGTTCATCTCTGCTTCGTTTTAATTTTCTCAAAAGTTGTTGTTTTTAATAATAGTTGTGTGACTTTTACGTATTTGAGGTTCACAATTAACATTAGAGCGCAAAAAGCTTAAAAAAATTTGTTATATTTTTATTTTTTCTTTTTTTTTTTTGTTTTGTTTTTCTTTTTTTTATGGCCGGGGAGGGCGGGGATTTGAAAGCGAACGTAGAGTTGGAAATGAATATATAGAAAACGATTTAGTTACTTAAGCTAAGCAGCACACACGAAAAGCCAAATCAAAAAAGAATGTATACAAAATTAAACAAGGCAAAAACTTGTGCAGGCAAATTACAAATTTATTTTTTGTTTTTTTCTTTTTCTTTTAAAAATTAGTTTAGTTTGTTTTTGTTTTTTGTTTTCATTAATGCTTTTAATAATTAATTGATATTGCAACGCAAATTGGTTTCATTATGTGGTATGTATGTATCTGTATATATATATATATATATGTCTGTGTGTGTGTTCGCATGCACAAATACATTTGTATATATATATATATATATATATATGTCTGTGTGTATATCCATATATGTATGTATATCATCCGCGTGTGTGTAAATTGTTGTCGTTGTTGTTGTTGTTGTTGCTGACCAAATGTACAAAATTGTGTGTGTTGTGTGTTGTTTCTTTTGTGTTTTCTTGTTTTGTTAGTTGTTTTTCCTTTTTTTTGTTTTTGCTTTTTGTTTTTTTTTGTTTTCAGTACATAATATTAATTAAGACATAATCGTATACATAATTGATTGTATGCTACATACACACACAAACAAACAATCCCAGATACACACACACACTCGCACACACACGCAAATAGATACACACACATTGAAATATATATATTTATATATATATGGATTTGTGCACACACCTCGCACACAGATATACATATATATATATATATATATATATATATATTCATAATTACAAAAGATATTATTAAAAAGATACAAAAAAAAAATAGACCCTATTAATGTTGTTTTAGCTTTGGCAAGCCTATCCTCAAGGGCTAAGATCCTGATGCAGGTTGGGATCATAGCCGCCCATGCTGTTATCATACGGCTGCTGTTGATCATATCCGCCGGAGCCCATCGGATAACCCATCGAGTCCTGTGGCGGTGCGGGCGACATCATTGGCGTTGTGGTGCCACTGGGCGGGCCGGCCATCGAATATGGCGAGGCGCCAGCTGCCTTCTTGGCCGCATACAAATTGGCCTCCTCCTGTGCCTTGCCAATGTTCTTCTTGTAACGGATGCGCTTGTTGCCAAACCAATTCGATACTTGCGACACCTGGAGTCAAACGCAAAACGCAGTTGAGCAACTAATGCGATGCGACAATTGATGGATTATATATGTTTGGATATAGACTCACAGTTATGCCGCATTTGCGCGCCAGCTCCTCCTTGGCCTCCTCGGATGGATACGGATTGCTCAAATGACTATAGAAATACTCGTTGAGTATCTCGGATGCCTGCTTGCTAAAATTGCGACGCTTGCGGCGTGCATCCAAGAAACGGGATCGCAATATCATCACTGCCTCGCAGGTCGACTGCTTCAGCTGCATCTGAATCGAGCTGAACTTCTTGTGGATGATCTGCACCATGCGCTCAATCTCTTTGGGTGTAATGGGTCTGCAAATGGGGATGTTTAGCAATGTTTTAGCATTTAAAAATCATTAAAAAAAGACTGAATGAATCAGCTAACAAACATAATTAGTAGATAACGCATACCGCAAACGTTATCTATGCTTTAACAATTTTATTCTTATCTATTTTACAAGGCTTTGCACCTTCTTACTTATTTATTATCTGAAGCCTTCTCTGGCTCTTACAGATTTTTATTTATTTTATTTATAAGATTTCTGTGGTTATTTCAATGCAAAATGGTCCAACATTTGTTGCATGAATTGGGGAAAATCCAGAAACAAAACCCAATCAGACCAATGAAATAATTAGTAATCATTAGTTAAGCATGCGAAAAAGTTATTCACGTTTGAAATTGAGTTCTTAAGACTCTGAATTGAGTAAATGATAAGAGTCTGTTGTTATCATTACAGAGTACTTGAAGCGGTTCAAGAAGGAATAGAAAAATGTATTTGGCATCATCATCAATGCAGCTGAATCGATTTAACCATTTAGTAATTTAACTGCAAAACATAACGCCTAACAGGAGAGAGGGTTAATAAGGAGCAGTCAGTCTATTGGAAACTAAGAAACTCTTCTGCACAGATTCCAAAATAAGTTCCATAGAGAAGTGAAAAGTATCTTGTATCTTATCATCAATTAGAGACAAAGAGACAGATACACAGAGAAGGGACTTGTGGCTGGTGAAGCTGTATCTCGCAATTAATAGTTGCAGTTACTCATTTTATTCTCTATTTTTATTTCCAATATGCAGCAATATATTTTTAAATTATATTTCTTTTCTCATCTGTAACTAGTTTTTAGAAAGGGAAAGCTGAGAAAACTTCATTATTATTCGACTACTATTAAAATGATAATTTTGAATAATAATTTCATCAAAATATATGTGAAATCAATATAAAATTTGTTCAATGGATTTTAATCTGTTTTTTTGTAAGCTATGCCAACTTTTAATGTTTACCAATCTTCAGTATTGAATGCTTCTGTTTAAATAGCGTTTTCATCATTTTTTAACTATAATTTTTGTATCTTTTTTAATATATATATGTGTATATATATATATAACCCGTATCTTTTCAGAATGGCCATTCAAGATACTACCTTGGAGGCAAGACAAGGTTGCTTGACATTAATATGCAGACTAAGGATTTCTTTAAGGATTACTTTTGTTATTTGTGATTCTTATTCAACTTTGGAAATTTATAATTGTTGCCTGCCACAGCCACTGCCCCCTGTGGCGTTCTCGTTGTCGAGACGACTCACCTGGTGCGACTCTGCTCGCGCAGCAAGTTCATGACGTGCGTGGTGAACTCGTTGCAGGCCTGCTCGTATTTCTCCAGCTCCTGGTGATAGATCTGGCGAATCTGGGCCAGCTTGGCGCGATAGTCCGAGTGCTCGATGGCATTGTCCGCACCATCGATGGACAGCGAGCCGCCTTGGCTGGCTGCTGCGGCTGAGGCAGCGGCGGCGCCACCGCCGCCCTTCTCGGGACCAGCCACGCCCTCGGCAATCAGCATGTTGTCCAGGCGCATCAGTTGCGGATCTGGTGGCTCCTCCTCTTGCGTGTTGCGAATTGAAAGTACTGCAAAAATAACAAAAACAAACACAATCAGCAAAATAACATTTTCAAATTGCAAAAATTGTGTGTGTGTCTTGGTGTGTGTGTGTGTGTACTTCAGTTATCCTGCTAAGCTACACGCACAGAGCAGTTTGGGGCGAAAAACGTATCAAATTTTATTATGCACCACCGAAGACGACGGCGAAGTGGCAAGAAAAGGCGTGCGAAAGAAAAGAAAACCCAGCAAAACAACGACAAACCAAACTCGAAGAAAGTTTTCACTACACCACACACACACACACACACACACACACACACACACATACGTATGGCTGAGTTGGCATATTGTCTAGGGAAATGCGTGTTGTTATTGTTGTTGTTGTTGTTATTGTTATCCTTGCTTCCTTTTTAGCTTGTATTATATTCGCAGCAAGTCATGGCTATGCATGAATTAGATTTTGTGCCACATGCCACATGCCGCATGCCACTGCTGCTGCTGAATCTTAATCACGTTTGCCAAGGAGTTAGTCCGGCAGCAAAAATCGCTAGCTGAAAACATTTCGCGAATGCGAACAATTGAACGAACTCCACAACCAACGCCCCCCCCCCTCGCTCCTCCCCGGCACCCTCTTGTGGTACGCACGGCAAAGCTCATCAGCATTGCCACAGCGTTCCCAAGGCAACAACAACAACAATATTCCTTCCTCTTGCCACGACTGCTTCTTCTATGTATTATGTATACATGTTGCAAGCAGCAGCAGCAGCAGCAGCAGCAGCAGCAGCAGCAGCAGCAATTGTTGAGGCAACTGGATAAGGCATACAACACAAGTAATGAAATCGACCTCCCTCTATCCATCCCCCATCCCACCTATTCACCTAGCCACCGCCTCAAGCAACCCCTCAGCTTAGCTCCACTGCAAGTTTTGAATAAAACATTTCGTTGACTCCCAGTTGACTTTAAGAAACGCGAATTTGCGAAAACTTTCCAAAACTAAAATCAAAGTTTTGCGTCAACTTTCATCAAACATATAAAGCTGAAAGATGGCAAACTCAAGAAATTCTTAAAACTATCATTAATGATTTCGAAGAGCAATAATTTTTAGTTCAAATATGTGGAACCAGGTCTTAAACTTAACAGGAACGACATTTTCGCTCAAGAAGTGCATTAAAAAAAGAAGCAAATTCTAGCAATTGATCAATATTTATTTACCATTTTTTTAGTGAGTAAGAACTAAACAAAAAAAAAAAGGAGGAAAACTTCAGATTCTTTGCAGTTTCTCTGTTCAGTTTACAGTTAAACGTTCCAACTAACAGAACGCGACATCAAAATATCAACTCTGCCCAAGGAATTGAATTTCATATGTAAAGCTGTTAATAAACAGCTTACATAAATGCATTAACATACGGGGGAGAGAAAGGTGCAAAGACGTAAATTAACATTAACAGCGATACCATTAACATTTGTAGCTCATGTAATTAAAGTGTCTGTGTGTGTGGGTATTAAAAATGGTGAAAAAGAGATAGACAGAGAGAGAGAGGGAGAGCACGAGAAATACAGTTAGAATATATTGCGCCACCGGCGACAGCTGCTCTAATATTCCAATGAAAGCTATGCAAAGGCAAAGACAAAGGTATGTCGATGCAAGCTGGGTGGGGTGGGGAGCTGTGCGATGTGTTGGATAATGTTATTATAAGGATATACACACACAAAGGCAAAAGAGGAAGACGGAGAGGGGAGGGGGGGGGCGTTGGCGACTGCTGCTGATGTTGTTGTTGTTGTTGGGTGACATCGGTGGTTGCTTTATTTGGTTAAGGTTAGCCAGGATATTGCTAAAGTTTTGCAAGACTTTTTACTTGGGGTTGGGGGAGGAGGGGATGTGACATTTGAGTGTATGGGTAAATGAGGCGTGTCTGCGTCTCTGCCTATCATCATAATATTATTTGCAGAGTTGTATTTCCAAGTGCTTTTTGTTCCCCCGTTTTTCTTTTTGCAGATTAGAAATTGCAATTTGTATTTTTCGAATTGTAGATCAATCAATGGATGAAAAAAAAGATTTACAGCAGATTAAAATTATAGCGAGATTAGCTGATTGTAAATTTCCAGTGATGCTGAAACATAAGCGAAATTCTTCAAACTATTCTTAAAGATTTCGAGAGAAAACTGAAGCAACTACTACAATTATAATATAATAATTATTATTTTGTAACGAATATCAAAAAATAAATTAATTTTTTTTAATTCTATCAATCTTCAAATTTTTAAGAATCAGTTACAAGAAGCAATACGATTTCTAGTTCATATATTGCATATATATTTTATAGGGGACTCGTATAGCAACACAAAAATGTGGAACCAGTTCTTAAATCGAAATTTTCGATTAAAACTCATCAATGGATAAATGGAAATTATAACGAGAGGAGCTGATTGGCATTTTCAGCAACTATTCGCTGATTAGTGCAATTTGAATGTGAAGTGCGACTGGCGACAGCTGATAAATCAACTCATTCATAAATCAGTCATCAGTCATACGTCATCAGTCATCCGTCATCATTACTATTGGAATGGTATTCCCATTCCCTGCCGTAAAGTTTCATTATTGATGTTCTTTAATGGGTTTTGGGCCTGATGCCAATTTTCGACTCGCGCTTGCCACACAAACCAATTCTTCCATTAATTTTCTGTACTCTGATCTCTGATTAGAGAAAATATATATATTTGACTACCCAGCTTTAACCAGTTTTGAATTTTAAATAGAGATTCTGATCGTGACTGGCTTAGCAACTAAACATAACTAAAATCAAAAATATTTGTCAAGGAAGATGCTCAGTTCTTAAATTTAAAGACAAACTTGTGCCAAAAATGTGACACGCAAATTTCAATCCTTTTTGTTTAAAATGGAGGCGGAATAAGTATTCAGCAAAAGGGGAGGCGAACGGAAGGAATAGGGGCGGTAGGGAGTTGGTTCACAGGTCGCATCATTTGCGTATCTAATGAAGCATTTAAAAGCAGCCAGCCAAATTGCAGATACAATACACAGATAGTTGCGGGGCAGTGTAGGGGATATATAGGTACACACATATATATATATATATAACAGCAGGAGGAGGATGAGGAGGCTAAATGGCATTTCCAGCTCGTAAATTTGAATGGGGCAAAGCGCCAAAGAAACAGAAAGGACAACAGCCGTGCAATAAACATGTCGCGACTGCGAGGAGGGGACTGAAGGGGTAGCTGTTGTTCTTGTTCTTGGTGTATTCGTCAGATACAAGTATGTATAGTATATATGCACATATAAACATACATATATATATATATATATATACATATATATAGACATATTTAACAATACTTGAACAATACTTGTGCGTTGTATTTTGCATGCCTGTCGAACAGGTTTGCGCTTTTCACAAACTAATTTCAAGACACACACACTCACACACACACACACACACACACGCACACACATACACACGGCTGATAAAATATGTTAAACAAGACAAGAGAGAAACAGCAACTGTTGCAGACCATTTTCAAAATACCCTTGCAAAGGGTATACGCCAAGTGTGTGTTATGTTCAGAGATCAATTGTTAAACCTGATTCTTCTATATATATCGTCCTCTTTTATTGGAATGGAAAGCCCATATATATATATATATATATATAGCTATGGGAATGAGGCAAAAGAGCATAGTGCTGTTGCATATGCAATATGGAACCGCATTACTTTTCCCACTGCTTCAAATATTGTTACAGTTTCCTAATCAATTCTCGAAAGGCACAAAAATCTTGACAAATTAGAAGATATATATATATATATATATATATATCCACAGCTGCATATCATTCGCTTATATAGAAGGGTACTCAATATTCGACACTCTCTTGCTTTGCTTTTGTTTTTTTTTCTTTCTTTTATTTTGGTTGTATTTTTAAAATACTTGTTTCGCAGTAGCAGAAGAAGCAGCAGCTCTCTCTCTCTCTCTCCCTTTCTCTCTCTGTACACCGTATAAGCTCCACATTACAGCCGCCTCTTATCATATAGTAGATCCCCCCCTCTCTCACTCTCTTTCTCGCTCTTTCGCTGTCTTGCCTTGGGTCAAGTGTGTTCTTCTTTTTCTGGGAAAGTTTCTATTCTTGTTTACTTTGTCGGCGCCCGCCATCGATGATAGTGGAAGTGTTATCGCTAGGCAAGAGCACAACACACACACACGGGCCTAGATAAAATGTGTACCTATTTGAAGTAACTGTATATATATATATATATATATATAAGTTTATATATAATAGATATGCATGGGCTTAAAGCGATTTAATTTGTTGGCTTGTGCAGCGGCTCTTCGCCAATTGGCCAGGATTAGATTTGTTTAGTTTGCGACACACGTTCTATAACCGAACCAAACCCCACGGACCCTTTTTTTGTTGGTCGCACCTGATTGGAAAGTGTGTAACCAGACTTTTTACATTGATAGAATTTTAACATTAAAAATCATCAAGGCCAAAACCTTCAAAATAACACAACAAAAAAATAGAAAAATACATATTTATATGGCATACCCTGTAAGTGAAAAATAACTAAGCAAGAATTGGATAAACAAGCGCATTCGTATGTGGGCCAGAATATATTCTATATTCTAGTTTTGTTACCTGATTGAGATCAGAGAGATCAGAGATCAGAGGAACATTTTGGTAAAGCTTGTCAAAGTTGAAAGTAAATAACAAAAAATGGAAAAAGATGATCTTAGCTGATCTGGCAAGGGTTGTCGGGGCAAGGACTGTTGCGAAGGTAATAAATAAATATAGAATTGACTTGAGACATTATGGAAATCATGGAGTTTTCATCAGCTAGAGCTACATGTAGCATCTATCAAACTTTTCACAGCACATTCAAAAATTACACTTTGTTTTTTATTATTTTCGTTTTCAAATGGGTAAATGGGACAGTCCCCCAACCAAAAACCGAAAATGTTGAAAACCAAAACGCTGCCCAAAAGGCAATTTCGCAACGGTGCTCGTTTTGTGTGGGGTTTTGGGGAGAGTTGAGGGGGTTGTTTTCAGTCCCGTTGGGTGGGGGCGGGGGAGTGTTGGATGGGCAGGGGTTGTACAAAGGGGGCGATTGGGGAGTTGTACTTTAGGGTTAGGCAACAGCAATGGCAATGGCAATGCCAACGCTGGAGCCATTCAAAACATCTGGCCCACAATCAAAACGCGCTGTTATTGCCCATTTTGCGTCGCTGCGTGGGCGTGTAATATGAAGCAGAAAGAAAGAAGGAAACAAAAAAAAAAAAAACAGAGGAAAAGAAAAAGAAAAACTGTGGCAAACATAAGAAAAAAGCACACAAGAAGCACTCAGAACAAAACAGCAGATGAAATTAAGGCAAACTCGATTTGAAATTCTCGCTGGAAGGTGCGTTCAAGGATAATAACACGCTTCCATGTGTTCCATGTGCCGGAATTTCAGAGTTGGGGCAGACAGGCCCTTCTTGTACAGTGGACACGCGCTAAGCCAAACAGCGAACATGATTTCATTTTTTAGATAATTCACATTTTCTTTTCAAGTATATAAATTCGAATTATATAAAAATCAGATGCATTTTAATGATTTCTATATAATAGAATTCTTTTTTTTGAATATCATGTTGCATGGAAAGTTGCAATATGCGAGCGTATACTGTATATTAAATATGTGAAAAACGTTTTTGCTGGAATACCCACATTAAATAACCATTTGAATTTGAATTAGAAATGCAGCAATTCTTGTTTCCACTGTATCGAAAATTGTATTTTAAAACAAGTCCTCAGGGAATGCTTCCATTCCCCTCCAATATATGAAATGTGCATTGAAAATAACGATTTTCAATTCAGAAAATTCTCATTTGCAAGCGTTCCACTGTATTTAAAATTGTATTGTGTTTCAAGATCCGAGACAATGACGAGGGAATATACGAAAATAACGATTTAAATTGCCATTTGCAAGTGTTGAGGGAATGCATATACCATAAATGTATAGTTGTGTTTTTTCTTCTTCTTTTATTTATATAATTTGTTTTTGTTACTTACCGGTTTTCTCCTTGATCTCGCACAGCACTGAGAAGAGGGCCGGCTTCATGCGGTGACAGTTGAGTGTGTGCTTTCTGGCCTGCGCCTCGTCCAGGGATTGTTCGGAGATGCTCATGATCTGTTGCAGGATCTCGCCGATATCCTTCTGCTTGCGCACCTCGTTCTCGTTGCCAGCGTTCTGGCCATCATCCTGGCCGGGCAGGCCGTAGCCCTGCGGTGCCATCATGCCCCCAGTGTGGGCCATCATGCGATCCTCCATCTTGTGTATATATGTGTGCGTGTGTGTGTGAGTGTGTGTGTGTGTGCGTGTGTGTGTATGTTTTCCTCTTTCAGCAGCAACGACAACAACAACACACTGCAATCACAACAATCACGTTAAAGCACGTCCAAATGGGACTTTAATACATGTTGCAACAGGCAAAAACAAAGTACACACAACAAGAACAACTGCGCAAAAAAAAAAACGTGTACACAACTATATAAACAATGACTAATTAAAATAATTCATTTGATATTAGTCGTTAACAGTTCAAAACTTCTACCCTCTTCTATTTCAAGCGCGCGCAAACGTCCGCACGCAACGACAACGCATTGCCAACTAACCAACTGGCTCTGGCAGCTCTGCCTGTTGTTCGCCGACTGCGTTCGTTCTCTGTTGCTCTGCTGCTCTGTTTATCTGTTTGGCCAGCAGACCAGTGTTGCCAGCATATAAAACACAACAACATCAAATTGCTAGAAAAAGCCAACTATTTTTACGTCTGTCTTATTGAAAATAATATAATATATACATATATTATATATAATAAATAATACAAGTGAATTTTGAAAAGCATGTTTGCAGCCAATCAGGGCTTAACCACATAGAATTCTTGGCATATATATGATTTCCACAATGCTTGTAATGGCTATAAAAAGGCTTAGGCGGCAACACTGGCAACGCAGGCAAAACGAGCAAAGTTAATCCGACTGTGAATGTCGTCTTCGTTTGCTTTCGACGCTGTCTTCGCTGCACTGTGCGAAGAATGCTGTTAATGGGACGGTGGTGCCAGGGGTGGCGGGGAACGCAAAACAAACTGCGGGAATTGGAGCTAGCTTGTGGTGTGGGCGGGAGAGGGGGACTTGTGATGGGTGTATGGGCGTCGGCTGCTGCAGCAGTCTGCCGCTGCTTCTGTACAGTGGGACGTGTGTTCGTTTGTGTGTGCGTGTTCGTGTGCCGGTGGGCAGCAAAGTGAATTTGCAAAAGGATCGAAATGGGTAAATGGATTTTGCGTTTGATATTGCGTCGACATGTCGAAGTAGCTTAGTATGCAGCTATTTTAGTTTGATGCCGTTGATAGTTAATAATCAGACTTGAACTGACTGAACATTGCAATTCCACAACTTAAATAAAATTCACTAATAAAAGTTCTATCTACAAAAATGGGTGGGAAACTTATGTTATCTAGCAGATAAATTGTTCCTTTTTTGGCAACTCCTGTCACACTCATACGCTCTGTGCTTTTAAGGTGACAAATAAAAACGGAAAGTGTCATACCAGCATCGACTGCAAAGATAAACGCCGCATGCAGCCCTGTGTTTATATGCAAAAAGTCCCACAATGCGTGCGTATGTGTATGTGTGTGGGTGGTTGAGAGAACGGACAACAGACAACGGGCAAGGGACAAACGACAGCACCGGGCAGCTGACACACGCCAGGGGTGGGGGTAAGGGCAAAATTTACCTGCGTACTAAAAACACAACGACAAACGCTGCTTCCCGCTGGTAAGTGTGTGTGCGTATGTATGTGTGTGTGATGAGTGCGTTCACATTTGCGCAAATTGAGAATGAAGCCCAAATTAGAATTACTGTTTTTTCAAGTGGGCAATAAAATTGAAAGACAAAACCATAATTATGTTTACACAGCAGCAGCCAAAACAACTGGAGAAAGCATCGTTGACCTTCAGTAAAAAACACACACGCACACACACATGTATTTATGCATACATGTATGTATGTGTGTGTGCTTGTATTAGCTTAGCTGCATGCGGACAAAGCGCATTAAAGGCTGCGCAAAAATAAAAAAAGCGAATGATAACCTGTTTAATACAATCACACACACACACGCATACATACATGCATCAGTTTTGAACAATTCTTGGAAATCAGAGCCGCTTTTTTTATAATTCTTTGCTACAGTTTTGTTGTGTATAACAGATCGTATAACAGCATACCATAAATTGTTATATGCCTGCTGCAACATATTTTGTGTGTTTTGGCCATAAATAATTGTTAACTTACACAGGTTTAATTACTTTACAGGTATTCGATATTCGCCAGCTGCAATTAGAGTTAAACAAAACAAAAAAAAACAATGATGCACTTGCTGTAAATGATTAAACATATAAAATATATATTGGAGCACTAGATTTCTCATTTCTTATTTCTCGTTTATCGTCAATTTTTCAATGCTCTGCTTCCACTTCATTCCACACGCAGCAGCAGCAAAACGTCGCCACTTTTTTTCATGGTACACAGTTTTGGTTGTTTTCTGTTTAGGCACTTTAGCTCGGTATTACTGCCGTTTTATTGGATGTTGAAGTATACAACGTGCAGTTAAGAATACTAGTTTGTTTATATTATTAATATGCGCAATATATCAGCGAAAATTATTTACCACCAAAAAAAATCTGCTGCTGACAAAAAAATGTATCTTATATGTGTGTTGACAGGGTTGTTATATCGATAAGTTGATTTCGTTCTTCGCTTACGTTGCTGACAATGCGCGTACGTTGCGCATTATGCGCTTGCGTTTCTCAGTTTGCGTTATAGTTGCGCTGTTAACTCTTCTGTGGCATGCCTGCATTGCATTCCAGCAACGTAAAGAAAAAGTGGCGCAATTTTTAAACGTAATTGTTTTTATTTTTTATACTTTCCAAATTACCTTTCTTATGTTCTACAATTATTAAATACAATGTATTGTATGCTTAGTGGTTAATGTTTTCGTGTATTTCTTATAACGCTTATTTGAAAAAGTAAAAGCTTGTAAAAGTTTTTGAAAAAATTTCGCAAGGTATGAAGCGCCTTACGTTATGTTAACGTAGCTTTGCACGGCGCGCATTACGTCTAACCATGAATTTGCGAATGAAGATTGCGTATTGTGCAGAACCCTCAACTATGCTAAGAATTTGACTATTTTTGTGACGTCAATCTGGGCTAAAACAGTGCAGTAATTTCTTTGTATATCAAAACTTTCATTGATTTTTAAGTCATTCAATCGTGAATCCTCATCAGTGGTTCTTAAGGTTAAACATTCCACAAGCACGATATTTCGTGTGTCTTATGTGACGTAGATGCGCAATAGTTAGTTATGTTATCTCTCGATATACGCATTCTGGTTTTTGCAGTCGCGGTGACCAACATTTAGTGCGCAGCCAACTTCATAAGGTGCTTAACAGAACACTGTTACCTGTTTATGAGGCGAGCCAGCAGGACCCCAGATCATTAACAGCTGTTGCAGCAATGTTATTTTGAATTGACAACTCGTTGAATGCGGTCGTGTGCTGCCGGGCGGCGTGTTTGCAACATTGTTTGGGATCAATTTTGCGCGGTTCCAATATCAAAAGCACAAAAAAATAACAAATTATAAATTATTTATATCATACTGCTGAATTGTGCTGCACCACAGATAGTTGTCAGTTGCTGAGCTTGTGTGTGTTTGCAACTGATGCTTTTTTTGTTTTGTTTTGTGTGTAAAATTTGTTGGTGTGCCCAGAAAGGGTGTGTACAAAAAAAAAAAAAACTACTCGTGTGCAGCTGTAAACAGGAGACGGGCGCAGGAGTCACGACCAGTGCGACAGAGAGAGGGAGGAAGCCAGAGCGAGAGAGACAAGGAGTGCAGTAAGTGTTTGGATCTGTTTTGTGCGGGTGGGTTGCAAAAGGGAAGAAAAATAAAGGGAGGGGGACCGCTTAACAGCGGCTCAACAAGAACAACAACAACTATTGCAGTTGTTCTTGTTTTTGCTTTCTTGCACATTTCTCTAATGCATTTTGGTATTTCGCTTTACACTTATCTGCCGCCTGCTCCTTTTCTTCTCTATGTGTGTGAAAAATCAATATAAACAGCCATATGTGTGTGTGTTTGCTTGTTTGTGTTTGTGCAGCAGCCGGCTGCTCCTGGGGACGCGCTGCTGCTGCAGCAGCAACAACAATAAGAACAACACACAATAAATGTTACCTCAATAACTTTGAAAGCCGAGCGCTGTTATTGTTTTATTTATTTGGCTTGCGTGTTTAATTAGTTTAAAGCATGCTAATTTAACTAAATGCTGCTGTTGCTGCTTGTTGCTATTATTTTTGCAACCACCCAGAATACAGTCAAAGCGAAGAGTAAAATTGTCGGTAACAACAACAACAAGCGATAACACCAAATGCGCTGCTTCTAACGGTGCTTCCGCTCAACTTAACGAAGCCAGAGAGTGAGAAAGACGAAGAGAGGAGAGAGCGCGTGCTGAGAGAGCATAGATGATGATAAGAACAAATGCGACACATTTTGATAATATCTGGCAACTTTTCTCTTTTATCCAGATTTTGAACTTGCAAATATTTTTATGTTCATTTACATAGATAAGTTAAGCGCTGCTATAAACATGTATGTATGCATGTGAATGTGTGTGTGTTATCAGTGCTTTTGCTTTGAGCTGCAATTCGTCTACGCTACTTATTATTTATTATTATATAGAATATTTTTTGGTTGACTGAACTTCCTGCTGCGCCCTAATTTCAAATATGTAAGCTTTTTTCATGGGTTTTTTGGGCTCATGCTGAGTCACGCGTCAAAAGTGTGACTCACACACACAAGCAGGCATAGGTCAGTGCATGTCGTCCTTGACAGCGAGATAAATATCTCAAATTGCCAACTTAACTTTTTGGCGACATCAACAACAACAATAATCATGAAAAAGAACTCAAGCAATTCCTGCACAAGTTTTTTGGCGCCTATGGCGTCACTTTTAAAGGGGCGTGGCAGGCAGCAATTCACAAAACTCCGACTCCAACCGATGAGCTCAGCAGCAGCTGAAGAACAAGGGGCAGAAGAATAAGAACAATTGGTCTGCTTGAGTGAGTTGCTCACGACGAACTTGACATTGAACGAAACTTATTAGTATGTGCTGCTGCAGGGGAGTGAGGGAAAGAGAAGAGAAGAGCAGCTTGCGGTTGATTGCGGTTTATTTTTAATATGCTCGGCTACTGTATGAAGTTCGTTAAAGATCTTTAAGCTGGTCACACTTCGTTTCCAGAGTGGTTCATTGTAGAGATTGGGAACAGCTCGGTTATTTCTATTATTCTATGGTATTACTATTATTATTATTGTTATTATTTCATATTAATTTTCATATTTCATTACTTACAAATTAATATTGTTAGTGTAGTTGCAATTGCCTATCTACCATTTGTTAGGGTATTTAGTAGTTCGCATTGCAAATGCTCAGCACTTATCCTTAGCCTTGACAGACTCGCGTATGTGTGTGTGATGGGAACCGAGTCGAAGATGCAATCACATTCAAAGCGCTGCTGCTGCTGCATCAGATTGTGAGAACAACAACTAACCAAAACCCGTTGCCCGCCCACCCACCTCCGCCTCCGTCTCCTTCGACTGCCCACTCCTTTCCACTGCACTCCACTCCACTTCGCCCACGGGCAAAAGTGCGCTGCCCTTTTTTGGGCTGCCGTTCGTTGTTCGCCTGCGCAAATTCCTCAGCATCTTTTTTCTTCTTTTTTTTTTGTATCGAGGAACGGCGCGTGCGCCACGTTACGCTCCAAGGAGCTGCTGCTGCTGCTTCTGCTTCTGCTGCTGCTCAGATTTATCGATGTGCGGCGTGAGGTTTTTGCTTGATTTTCGTTAAGTGTTTTCAGTTCTTCCTCGGCTGCTGAGCAGCTTATTGGTGCAGTTTTACGAGCTTGTTTATGGGCTTGTTGTCAATTTCGACAAACGCTCCAAAAATGCTCTATATATAGCATAAATACGTATGTATATATATATACATACATATATATAACTGAAACTGAAACTGAAACCACATCTGTCGCTCCACAAATTGAGGGATTTGCATTTGGGCAGCTGACTTGGCAAATAGCGCGAGTCGACATAAGGAAAACAAGTAAACATGTGCTAGTCGAGTACTCCCGACTAACAGATACCCTTTCGTGTGCACAGCAAATGCTTGAATTGTTATTGATAAATAATTATATACGATTTGCTTCATGATGAAACTTTTGCACATAATCCATATTATGTCAAGGCAGATGCATATTTGATAAGAAATATATATCGTTAAAATGGTTGCTATTATCGCTATCGTTAATCGATTTCGACTATTGATGCTGATCGAGATTGTATATGTTATGGGGTCGCAGATGCTGTCTTCTGTCATTTTAAAGAGCGATAAATCGAAAAGACTCGGCTAAAGATAAAGCATCGCTTGGCATTCTTGCAACAATCTCAATGGAATTTATTGCAATGGAATCTAGACTGAAAATAAGTAAATGAATCGCAAATATTAGTGTCGAAAAATAATATTTTATCATCTCGAAAATGTAAATGAAAAAATGCTGGGATTTTACATCACACAATTTGTGCTCATCTCTGAGTGGATTTGGGTGCCATTATAATAAATTGCTTATCGATGTTTTGATGATAATAATAGAGCACCCATAAAAATTGAATCCAAGAACCGTTCGTTTTTTTTCGTTTTTGTTTTCTGATGTCTTTTTTTGTGTCTTTTTTATTTGTGATATTCCGTTTCAGCAGTGTTCTGGTTTGCCAAACACAATTAGCATAAGCGGATGGGCTGCAAATTAAACGAAGCAAAGAAGACGAGGCAGAAGAAGCCGAAGAAGCAGAGGAGGCAGAAAGAAGTAACTGTTCTAAACTGGCCAGCGTATCAGCGACAAAATAATAAATGGTAACTGACCAAATGAACGACCCGTAGCAGAGACGAGTCGAGTCGGGTCTTCATCGCCGTCGCATCTATTCATAAAGTTTATTGCTCCACATGCCCCACATTTGTGTGGCACGGTTTCCAGCGCCAAATCAAAGAGTAGCAATCTGTAATCAGCGATAAAATACTCGTAACTCTTTGCGCCAACACACAAAGGAGCGAAATATAACATAAATTACTAAATTGAAAACGCTGTCGGATGCCACCAGTAGGTAGTCGTAGGAGGGGGCCGAGAGAGAGAGACAGATAGCTGATCGTTGGCTGTCTCTCTCTCTCTCTCTCAGTGAGCTTCTCACAGCTCATCATCTGTGGAAGATGCTTTTTTCTCAGCTGTCTGAGTGCAAATTAAAAATATCTGCAGTTATGCAAATTGTTTACTAATCTATGAATATTCAACGGTTGAATAATGACTGAGTGCGGCAGACAAAAGATCAAGTCCATAAAATATTAGGGGTCAAGCGTTACGTAATGCAGATCATATTAATCGGCTGTGGAACTTTTGATAAAACGCCGCATTCTCTTGCAGCAAACGGAAACATTTGAAGATAGTAGATGGTGGTTATTATCATCTTAGCTAGCAGAATCTTATAATCATTAAGTGACTGTTTTAAATCCCGGGAGTGTTTTTATTTAGAGAGAACAACAGCGAACAACAATCTTTGGATGATAATCGTTCAACTTTTGAGATAATACAGATTAGGCTATATGCGAATATCGTAGATAATTAATATAGATATAGATAACAATATAGGTATAGATTTATTTTAGATAAGATAGCAATAACAAACATAGATAAATATATTTAGATATAGGTAAATATATAAATAGGTAAAAATATGCATATAGATGCATATAATATATAGATATAGACATAGGTAAAGATACATTTACAATGAGTATATATATAATAAGTACAGATTGTAGACATAGATAACTATATGGATTATGACTATGATATATATATATATATAAATATATATGTATATCCATATTCCTCATAGCTAGATATATATATAGATATGGCTATGATGTGCTAGATAACATTTAAGAATTTGGATTATAGATAATACAGATTGTATCTATATATATTTATATATATATAAAGAACTAGAAGTGTAGTCATGAAGAATATGTGTATAATATATATATATATATATAACTATCTTTGCATGGGAGAGACAGATGGATCCACTCAGAGACAGATTTATCTGTAGATAACATGGTAGATAAGTGGCGGTGTTCAGCAGCAGCCACTTTGCTCACTGTTTATTTGAGACAATTGTGTGTTGAGCTGAGATCATATTAAATGCAATTTGAGGCATCTCGCTAACTGCAGCCAGTTGAAGAAGCCCTATGAGTGGTGGGCGGGGCTGGCTCGGGCTGGGGACCTGGGGATCGTCGCATTGGGGTTACACGTTATATTTGTTGGTATGGTTTGTCTTTATTTTTCCCCCGTTTATTTCGATTAATTTAGCATTCAAATTGCGAATGACTTTAATTGAAAAATGCTCGCGTTCAAATGATTTGATTAATTGCGCATTGCTCGTTTCTAAGGGAGGTAGTACATACCCCCATCCCCATCCCCATCCCTATCCCCACCCCCTTGGAGCGAGTGATCTTTGTCGTCTGGCTTGCGGCTTGTGTTGTCTGCTCATGTCTGGATTATTGACATTTGTCATGCGATGGAAAAATGCGTTTTATTTCCCTTTTCCTTTTTATGTTTATATTTATAGTTTTTTTTTTTTGGTTTTGGCCAACATCTGTTTATATACATATTTATATATATTCTATTTCCCATTATGATCAATATACATGAAATCCATATGAGTCTGTCAAAATGGAAAAGTGGATGCCACTTAAGGAATTGGGCCCAAGCCATTTGTCGGGGCACAAACCACA